CCTACAGAATGTGTATTTAACGGAGGTCCCACGTTGGGCGCCATTATAACTGCTAATCTCTGAGGATGGATTTTCTCAATTCGTCTGCTCTTTTTGTGATGTTACACGGTGACATCGCCATCGCTAATTGTATATCCATTTTTAACCGACTTTAAAAAATGAGGAGATTATTAATCGGTTGATTTTTTATGTTTATTGCCTCATAACTCCGTCAGTTGTAAATCGATTTGCATTTTTTTTATATCTAAAACGATATACTTTTAGATTTGTCTTAATAAAAATTTTATCAAAGTCGATTTACTAATTTCATTTATAAATCAAAATAACCGATTTTATTACGGTTTCAGTCTATTTTTTAGTTTTGTGATTCAAATTTTTTTTTAAATATACTGCACTTGACGATAATATATATATTCTTTATTGCACTTAAACAATATATGCGACGATTAGTTTAACAACTTGTTAGCAGGGGGCAGGAGGGCTTGTCTCTGAAAGAGATCTCTTCCGGCCAACCCAGTGTAGTTAGAGAGAAAATAATTTAATTTGGGTAATCCAGTGCAGGAAAGGTACCGGTGAAAATATATCCATGCGTGCAATTAATATGACTAGTTTAAATTATAAATTATGTATCCAACATTATAGGGTCCGGGCCCCGCACTGGGCGCCAGTCCAAAATGTGTGCTCATCATAAAATCATGCCGCGTTTAATCACAACTCGAGCGAGCGTAGCGCACCGGATCCAATTAGTTCTTGTTCAAATATCTGTAATTGGAGAGATTAATCGACAGTGGTCCACCTAGAATTATACCAAATGGAAGCGCTCTACATATAAACATTCGTGTTTCTACCGTGAAGCAGTTGTGTCTGCATGGCTGTGTTTCTACCGTGAAGCAGTTGTGTCTGCATGGCTGTGTTTCGGTTTGAATTTTTTTTTTGTACAACTTATAATGGCAAACAAGCTGACGGCCCACCTGATGGAAAGTGGTAACTGTCGCCTAGAGACATGTATACTGTTTCGCCCATGATACCCCCCATGCGTTGCCATTCCTGTGGACTCAGGTGTTATTTCTCTGTACCTAGTAAATTCACGCCATATCCCACCCTTCAAAGCGAAACACAGCCATGCAAACACAACTGTTTCACGGTTGAAACACGAATGGGACAGAGGCACCCAAGCAATCGACTTTTGTACAAAGTCTCCCTCTGGTGGTGATGGTGGTGGTGGGATATGGCGTGAATTTACTGGCTACAGAGGAATAACACCTCAGGAATGGCAACGCATGGTGGGTATCATGGGCGAAACAGTATACTCTGTTATGTCCATGGTACTGCTCATGTCTATAGGCGACGGTTACCACTTTCCATCAAGTGGGCCGTCAGCTTGTTTGTCATTCTAAGTTGTAGAAAAAAAAAAACATTTTTTCGGTATAAAAATAAATTCTCTTCCACTCAGTAGATATATCGGTGTCATGGTACGAATGACGTAGAATCTGTAAGGCAAACGTCTGCGGTTTGCACAGAGAGCGCGCTAATTAGTACCGACTGGGACGGGCTTGGGAAGGTTGAGGATCATAGCGCCCCGTCGCCTTGTAACCTAAGAACAAGGAATTACATAGAAGGAATGATAAAATAAAAACTGTAAATCATATGATTGTCTCCTTTCTTCTTATGCAAATATAATTAGTAAAAAGGGGGCAAAAGATACACCATCAGTTGCTTTTTTTGTCAATTCATAGCATCTTAGTGTATAGAAAATGTTATACGTCCGTATAACCCTACCTAATTCAGATACAACCTGCTTGCATACTTTCTACATAAACCGTGTCGAATATATAATCTAGTAATGTAAAATTTGTTATTGACAAATAATTGACATATCAAACATTTTCTATACACTAATCTGCTGTGAATTGACAAGAATAGCAACTGATGGTGTATCTTTCGTTCTCTTTTTACCAATTATATTTGCATAAGAAGAAGGGAAGTAACTGTATGATTTATAGTTTTTATTTTATCATTTCTTCTTTGTAATTCCTTGTTCTTAAGTTGTAACAAATTTTTTTAATTTAATGTAACCGCAGTCAAGCTTTGGAGATATTTTAAGAGGAACGCTGCTGCCCATCCCTCGCCTTCTCTTAATTATCACTTACGGCACCCATGGGAAAGGATGGGGTGGCCTATTCTATACCGGAACTACACGGAAAATAGCATGTGTTACTAACTGATATTGTAGCTTTCTATAGATGAAAGAATTTTTAAAATCGCTTGAGTAGTTTTTGAGTTTATCCGTTACAAACAAAATGAACAGTACAGATAAAATTAATAAGGTTATTGGAAGCAGTGATTTATGTTAAGCAAACGTTAGGTGGGAATGTATATTTGCCCCGTTTTGCTATTCGTATATCCTGAATTATTCCATCCCGTTGTGCATAACTTGTCTAAAAGTTACCCCCGCTTACCAAGAGTTAGGACTGACTAACTGACAGCGCACAATGCCAACGCTAAATTGACCGTTAATTGTTGGCTTGAATCTGGAATGGCTGCATTTCCGTGTTTGTATGTTGCCCAACTTGTAGTTCTTTTGTTAGCATATTTTTTAAGCGATTCAAATATACTATAGATTACTCTCACAACTTCGAATGTGGATTCGTCAAAGATCCTGTGACATACAAAACCAAAGATGGATACAGGCTACTGATTGCAGGCAATCAAAATTGGCCGTACTTATGTTGAATCAACGACTGTCAAAACGTTTATTACATCTAGACAGAAAAAACCTCAAAACAATGATAGGGACAATAACGGGTCATTGTCCATTAAACAAACATCTATACACAATAGGAGCCACAGACAGCCCTCTATGTCGAGGCTGTTTCGACGCCGAAGAAACGGCTGCTCACGTAATCCTGGAATGTGAGGCTGTGGCCCATCAACGTTTAGAAATCCTCGGAACAGTGAGGTCGCTCCGTGAGGCCTGTGAAGAACCCAGGAAGCTTCTGCGCTTCTGGACGGAGCTAGGTCGGCTGCACTAGCCACGACTCATATGCACAATGGCCCAAATGAGAGGCTAAGTGTGGAAAATGGAGTCCTTTTCATATTCACATTCAAATATACTACAGACTAATACTTGGCAAGTCCTCTCGACATAGAATAGGCCACCCCTTCCTTTCCTGTGGGTGTCATAAGAGGCGGCTAAGGATATTCTTAAAACACCTCCAAAGCCTAACTGCAGTTACCAATCCGCCTCTAAATCGTGGCAATTACGGGCAAAACCCCCCAAGGGAGAAGCTTATGATCAACAATGGATAGTTACTTAATTGCAAGCTGATATGATGGTGATGAATAGGTACTTATGCGAGGGTGTCACCATCTGGTATCAAGTGTTTTAGGCCACCATCATTATACGAATGACTAGTGACTATAATAAATGTGAATCAGAGTTTACATTACCTATTGACGCCGTTTGTTTTTTATTTTGCGCAAATTCTAGTGGCTATTAAATTACTATTGAAGTGTATAATTATGTATTATTTTAGCTGTTTGTTTGCTTTAAATTAATTAATTAATTAATTACCTCATAAATTAATCCAGAATAAATCTAGATATTTCGTATAAATAATGCATCGGGCAGCCATCGCTCTCGAAACAATTCGACTAATCCGCTTTGCGATCGCGCCCACCCGCTGAATATTGCAGCACCTTGTCTGGCGCGGTTGCTCGCCGTTGATTTACCCCGTGCCGTGTACCCTACTTAGTATGCACCGTGTTTGCGTGTACATCTCATTATATGGGTCGGTTCACTGTCAATATGGTGATATCAATTAAGGTATTTAAGATCATTCTCCAAGAAGATCCTGACCCATTATAAAAGGCGGTTACGTAGTCTCAGACATGTCTTTGCGTAGCCTCGTTTGCATCTTGAGTTTGCGGTCCCAGAAAGACAATTCTGGGCAGGCATGGTACACCGGGATCAGGCAGCTGGTTTGGCCTGAAATATATTCCTGGTAAAATAGTAAATGCTGCGTAATAATAATTGTCAAAGGGTTTTTTTTTTAACCATAACTAACGCTGGTGTATCCCTCTTGGTTCTCTTGAAAACTGCTTGCGATATCCTAGTAAGTAAAAGAAGATGGAGACATATTTTTATTGCTTTATTATATATTTACTACCTATTGCCTGCTGTGTGCATAAAAACTAATTAAATAGACAAATTCTGGATGTCGTATCAAGATGGTACATGCACCTGATTTTAAATTAAACCCCGTTGTGTTTCGGGAACATAGCTGTTAACTTTATCCAATTTGGTGGAGTAGTTTTTGCGTGATGGCTGAACAAAAATATAGCCAGGCACAAAATGAAGATCCCCCTCCCCTCATATCAACTTTTCTTAAATACTTTCCATGTATAGACATTGTCTAGTTAAAATGTTCTTATAAGAATATTAATGAATAAGATAAAGTTGTATTGCATTGTATTCCCATGAGACAAGACAAATTTTGATGTGATAATTTTCTTTTTTTTTTCTATAATCTATTATAATTTAAAACATTGTGATATAGGAGACTATAATAATGGAACTTCACTAATATTTACTCATATATTAAAAGATTTGCCCGCCATTTATGGTACAAATATGTACCATAAATGACGTTAATGTACCATCTGTAATACACATATTTGAACAAATAATTTATTAGAATTACGAAAGAGATTTATCGAGCAAGAATGAATGGAGATGTCGGTAGGGGCCGCCCTAAACGGACGTATGTCGACCAAATAGGTCGTGCTGAAGAAGGGCCAAATTAAAAGTACCCGTAACCGGCGAGCGTGTATGACAAGATTGATGAATGTGGAAGAAGCGAAAGAGGTTTGTTTGAATCGAAGCATTTGGCGTTCCATTGTTTCTGCCTACCCTAATGGGAGACAGGCGTGACAGATATGTATGTATATATGTATGTATAATTTATTATTACTATAACAGCTGTGATCATTGTCAACAGCGCTAATAGAGCGGGTGGGTACCCCCTCCAGCGTGACGACGAGTGGCACTACGACGATCACGAGCGTGGCGAGCGTTGTGAGCGGTGCCAGCGGTCCGAGCGGTCCGAGCGGTCCGAGCGGTCCTAGCGCTAGCTGCGCGGTGTGCGGCTCGGCGGGCGCCACGCGGACCGTGTCCCGGTCCCGCGCGGTGCACTACGGCCTGAAGGAGGAAGCGGTCGGGTCCCGGGTGTGCGAACCCTGCCACTGCCGCTGCGTACGGTCGCGGTACACGCGCTGCCCGGTGCCCACGTGTCCCGGCCCGCGGGTTCGAGCCAAGAGGTTACGACACCTGCCACCGCGGTGGCATGATCTCGCGCTCGACCTCAAGAGGCCACTAATGGATGAGTTTCGTGAGTCGTTATTTTATTTTTTAATTTTACATAATACTTCATGATGTGCCCATCGACCTCATGTGTCTATAGGACACAGTTACCACTTTCCATCAGGTGGGCCGTCAGCTTGTATATTATTCTAAGTTGCATAAAAAAAAAGTTAAAAATGGCTATTATTATTTTTTACTTTGTATGCTATTGTTTTCATAACATTACCTTAATCTTTTGCAGAAATACCAAGCGATCTCAGCAAGTGTTGTTTGGCGTGCTTCAAAAGGATCACGAGACGACTAGAGTCGACGGGCGAGGCGACAGAGCCCTCGGAGGAGGAGGTGTCCCGGCTCAGGAGTTTACTCCGGGAGCACGGAACCGCCTGGGAGAGGATAGCGCCGCTCTTCGGTAGAACGCCGGCAAGTTTGAAGGCGTTCTACTTCACGTATAGGTTAGTACTGGAACATTACAGGAAACTGTTGAAGATGACAATCATTATGTAGTTAAATTAAGTGTCTTTTTAAAAAAAAAATAAAAGTTGAAAAAAAAAAATTGTGCATCATTGTTGTAATCAGTCGTTAATTCTCTACTGCTGAATATAGTCTCCATCATAAGGAGAGTCTTGGCAATAGTTGCCACGCTTGGTGTTGGCAACCGCAGTTTTTGGTGATGTTTTAAGATGGACGCTACAGTCCGTACCTTCAGCGTGAACTACGTTTTAAAATTTGTGTTACGAATATTATATTAGGTATATCGAGGATTTTTTTGTAAAGAAATATCGTATCCGGCTCGAAGGACCATGCTCGTATTCTATATTTCTATTACGAAACCGATCATAGTAAATGATTCAACTACTATACTGATTTTTATCACAGGGTTTATTGTTTTCAAAATAACAAATACGATACGAGACGATATACGTTTAACTAGTTCAGAATTTTGTTTAGGAAAGATAGAGGGCGAGGGCACCATTGCCACTATAATAAATTTTGATCTGTGTTTGGTTGCCAACATTGGTATAATACGTATTAAAAAAAAAAGTAGCTCATGATACTTGTTGTACAATAAAGAATAAGAATGCCTAGTCGATGCTCTAACGTAAAATTTTTATAATTTATTCTATTCTAGAAAGTCAATCGAAAACGAATTTCGAATATCGACAATCTCATCCTTTTCGACGTCTACAACGATCGCGGGGGCTTACTTGTAACAAAGGCTAAACTTTACAGAAAAAAGTACCAGCTGGAGGCGGCGGTGGCGGAGCGCGCGTGTTCGCCGCCGGCCGGGAGTGCTGGGGGTGCTGGTGGTGCGGGGAGCGCGGGCGGTGGTGGCGGTGCACGCAGCACGTCCGAGTCGAGCGCGCTGAGCTCGGGCGACACGGACACGTGCAGCGGCGAGTCGCTGCCGCGCGCGCCGCCGCTGCCCGCGCGCCGCCCGCGCCCGCCGCCCGCGCCGCGCCCGCGCCGCGCCCGCCGCGACTACGACTCCTCCGCCACCGAGACCGCCGACGAGGAGAACGAGCCCAGCACCAAGGTACGCGCGCGCACGCGCACGCGCACGCACGCACACTAACAAAAGGAAAAATAATCAAATTGTATTTTTCTCAAACATGCTTGGAAATGTGATCATTATTTTGACAATTTTCTTGGAGATAAATCAAACTTGCCGCACTGTCCAGATACATGTGGACAGCGGCCGGCTGTATATTGTATGAAAATCCATATCTATCGTATTTTCCGGCCAGATAAATTACTATGTAAACTCATATCTGTCCTGTAGTTTAAAAATGAAAGGACCTTTTACTTCGAAACATGGGGCTACCAAGGAGGTAACTATGTATTAGTTCATATATAAGAACATCTATGTATTTTGATTACGATTACTATATATTGGCTCAATAACGAATATGTTAAATATATATCTATAAAATATCGAAATGAAGAATTTAATTGAAATGGTTTTTTTTATACAACTTAAAATGGCAAACAAGCTGACGGCCCACCTGATGGAAAGTGGCAACCGTCGCCTATAGACATGAGCAGTACCATGGACATAACAGAGTATACTGTTTCGCCCATGATACCCCTCATGCGTTGTCATCCCCGAGGACTCAGGTGTTATTCCTCTGTACCCAGTAAATTCACGCCATATCCTACCCTTCAAACCGAAATATAGATATCAGACCTGTATGTGCGATTTCTGAATATATAGATATTAGTAAGTTACTGATATCTATATTTCATATATCTACTTATATTATAAAAAATATGGTTATTTCCAGATCCTACCTCCAACAACGATACCGGTACCGGCATCATCGTGTCCGAGCACGACGCAAGCACCATCATCCACCAGCATGACGGGCGTCACGAGCGTGGCCAGCTCGGCCGCCGTTACTGTCACGGGGTCCGCTGCAGTTACCGTCGCGAGCTCGGCTGCAACACGCAACGGGCCCGCGCAGCAGCTGTCGGTCCGAGACCTGGTGCTCAACATGATAGAGATCAGCGTCGCCAAGCCCCCGCAGCCCGTACCACCCGCAATCAAGCCACAGCAAATCAAGGTACTTATAATTTTAGCTCTTTATTAGAGCTAGGGTCGCCGTGTAAGGCCCGGCATAGAATGAACCATTTTTTTCTTTCCCGTTGATGTCATAAGAGGCGACTAAGGGAGCTTATGGTGGAGGGATAAGCAGCAGCATCCTTCTTAAAACATCTGTAAAAGCCTAACTGCGGTTGCTAACCCTCCTGCCAAGTGTGACAATTACTGGCAAAACTCCCCTTATGGAGAAGGTTTATGTTCAGCAGTGGACAGTTAACGGCTAAAATAATAATAACAATAAAGAACTAGAGAAGATAAAGAAGAGATTGTAATGACTCTATTGCTAGCAATATACCCTGTCAGATCAACTTGATAAATACTCCACGATGAGTTGACGGACATGACTTGATCCTCACCTGTCATCCCTCACTAGTGCCCTGACAGTGTATACCGACAACGCAGATGGGGTTACCATTCCATTTTCCTCTCCAAAAATAATCAATAATTCCATATTAAACCAATATTCGGTCGTCAATCCGCGAGCCAATGCCAATACATACTGACGTAAACATCAGTCAGATCTTCTGTCGATAAGGAATTGGCATGTTTTCTTGATCCTCATGATATATCTTCATGATACCATTTCATCCATATGATACACCACCGGTGAACAGTCCCTGTAGACTGCTATTTTAGCAGTTGATATTTAGCCGAGCTTAAAATGGGCATGGTTAAACCACTTTGTCAATAGAGGAGATGAACAATGGATCAAAACAATATCGGAGAGATTGTCGTGACAGACAGAGACGAAATATAATCAGTAGACCACTAATCCGATGGTTGGATAATATGGATAGTAGGGAAGTAGTGGACGAGGATAGCACAGGGACCGCGACAAAAGCGAGTCATCCTGCAGTAGGTGGATGCGAGCTGATCATATATATACATCTAATTCCAATATTAGATAGAGATTGATCGTTATGTTTGTTTTTCAGTCAACACCAACAGGGACGGGTCGTGATGGTCGGGAGACGCTAGCTACTCTGAGCGTGGTCAGCAGCACGCACAGCGCGCGAAGTTCCCCGCGATCCCCGCATCGCCCCGCCACTATTACGCCGCTACAACATCAACCGCATCAACATCAGCCCCAGCACCAGCAACATACGCAGAAGGACGGTGTGGTGGTGCTGCATATAGAGCCCCGAGTCGAGCCGCGAGCCGAACGCGCCGAGCCTCTGCTGGACCTCAGCGTGAAACGACCGCGGCACGATCTCAATTTCCCTCACCCTCAAAAACCGGTAAAGTATTTGAGAAATTTCCCCAGTACCTTATTAATTTTCGATTCAACTCGAAGGATTAGACTTAGTTTGAGTAAGGAATGAATGGAGACTTTAAGTATAAATTTATCTTGTTGAAGTATATATATATAACTTGCATGTTAGTAACTAAAAAAAATCGTACCTTATTACTTTTAAATCCGGCTCGAAGGATCAAAGTCATAGGAAAAATTGACTAGAGAAATTTAAATAATCAACCAAAATTTAAATTAAGTGTGATAGAGTAATGAATGAAAATATAAATATATTTATACACTTTCTCATTTATTATAGTAGTAAGAATATGATAATGAACGAATAAAGGAGCAATGACCATTCTCTCTGATCAGACATATCGCACATCGCCGGGTGACTACCCGTCGTACCGGGCGCAGGCGGCCCCGGGTGGTGCCGGGGGAGGAACGGTGGCCGGGGCGGGGGCGGGGACGGGGACAGCGGACCGTAAGCCACAAGCGGGGACTGGCCCTAAGGGCTCCATCACGTTGGGCACGCCGTTACCCATGGAGGCGCGGTACGAGCCGCTCAGGACGCCCGAGCCCAAACCCGGCTCCATCACGGCCGGCACGCCCGTGCACGGCCACCCCCAGCACCAGCAGCACCCCCAACACCAACAACATTCGCAGCACCAACAACATCAGCAGCATCAGCACGCGGACAAGAGGAACTTCGACTACTACAAGCGGCGGAGTCCCGCGAGTGGGTACTACACCACCCGGCCGCACTCGCCGTCTTCGTTTTCACCGGTAATCTATTTATCTACTTTTTAAAGCTTCGTCGTATTAACGATCGTTTAAATATCTCTTAAAGCGAATAGTCAACAGACCGTTCGCTAACTGCGTTCCTTACATAAGAATAATACATAAAAAGCGACGCTGCCGACCTTTCGCCAGTGGAAGATCTGTTGATGATCACAAAGGCGTTGAATTCGAGCGTTCTGTAGCTTTATGTTGACGTAATTCCTGATTTTTGATGTAGTGTGACTAGAAGTAAATTTATGCACCTCGATATATTGGAATCTCGTCGCGGATGATCGGCGACCGGAGATCAGATTAATTTGAAATTTCTATGTACCTGTTTGTGAGTAATGCGTGAGGGCAGAGGCCCCTGGGGCTGAGTGGCTTCCGGGCCACCTTCGTTTAGAGACGAAAGTCGTACTGAGTAGCGAGGCCGTGGAGGCTGACAGCGACGCTTCCTTGGCAGCAGCAGACGGCGCCGTACTCGCGCAGCCCGTACGGGCTGGAGCAGCGGCAGATCATCATGGCGGACTTCATCACGTCGCAGCAGATGCACGGCGGCGCGCGGCGCGCGGGCGAGCGCGCGGCGGCGCCCGAGCGGCCCGCGTCGCCGCACGTGGCGCGGGGCACGTGCCGCGACCGCGAGCCCGTCTCCGTCATCCAGCGCCACACGCCGCACGCGCAGCACCAGCAGCACCAACAGCAGCAGCAGCAGCACCAGCAGCAACAGCAGCACCAGCAGCACCAGCAGCACCAGCAGCACCAGCACGCGCAGCACGTCTACTCGCAGCAGCACCCGCATCCGCCGCCAGGTACCTACTGCTTCTGTTGTCTATGGCCGCGACATACTTTTATTTTATAGTAATAAAATTAGTACAGTGGATATTGTTATTATTTGACAATTAAGTAAGTTATCTCAATAAATATAATACATTACTGCAGCGGCCAGCAACTGAGGCATTGAAGGACGAACGTGCAAATGTGGGCCGAGGCGTAGCCGAGGCACACATACGTGAGTCCATTAATGCCTAGTTGTGGTCAAGGCGTGTATAGTACTTTTCTCAAACAATGCGCATGTATTTGGCCAGTACGGCAATTTTGATTTATCTCTAAGAAGATTGTCAAAATAATGCTCACATTTCCAAGCATGTTTGAGTAAAATAAATTTACTTCGTCCTCTATTATACTATTTTGTTTAATTCCGCTACCATTACTATGCGTGCGATTGCCAACATTCGATGATTGATTACTATTATTACCAGTACTTCTCATAGTCTCCACTATTCCAGTAGTAGTAGTTAATTTTGTTTAATTTGTCAAGATAGCTTATTTGCTTTCATCCTCACTTATCTATTTCATCTCTCACTCGCCAGCGTATAACTGATAACGCGAGGTTACTGCTCCATTTTCACCCATTATAAAAAAGAATGATGATGTGATGAATCATGTTGTGCAGGTCACGAGGCGTTCACGTCGCTAGTGAACGTGGCGTCGGCTGCGACTGCGCTGCCGGTGCCGCGTGATGCACCCGAACACAAGACAGACCACAAACACCACGACGTACGGTATGTTGTCCATTGCATATCATTATAATTATCTCCTACCAACCAAACTATAAAAGTTAACTTTAAAATACTAATATATGTGATTCGGTAAACGTACTCCTACCGCCACCTTTCGAGTATTTTTTTCTTATCATAATCAAAATTGATTTTATCTATCTTTGTTGTTGAATAAAACAGTACACAATTCTAAAACTTCACTAAAATTAATTGAGCTATTTTGAATATAGCAATGAACGAAAATACTAAAAATAATCCGGCTCGAAGGATCAATTTAAAAAAGTTGTTACAAAACAGTACTCTAATCGTTTAGATTTTACTAAAAAATGTTTTAATATATTTTAGGTTAGCAATATCGAAATTCCATCAACAGCAAATGCAGTATCAAGTAAGTACTTTGAGAAATATCATTTATTTAATGTACCTATTATAAAATACTATCACTACGCATGGCTAATATCCGTACCGCTCCGATACCTATATATTGGGTCCTCTGAACATTAATAGCGGGAATAATGACATCACCCTTTTCGTTGATATCGCCTATATCTATATTCATTAGTTATCGGGTTTCTATATTACATATCTATATTATAAGAAGGTGAAAAGGTAAAACCAGTATTTGATATATCCGTTGTTATAACTATATATTGTAACTATATATAGATATTGCTGTATATTACTTTTAATTATCACTGTAGTCCTTCTCAGGCTAGATAGTGCCCAGGACTTCTCTGCTCGCATACATTTCTTTCTGTATGAACTTTTATCACTCATACATACATTCCAGTTTCTGAAACTTCACCCTCCCCCTAAACACCATATGATATTGATTGCTATAGATCAATCTAAGTTACCTTTTTATTTTATACAACTTAGAATGGCAAACAAGGTGACGGCCCACCTGATGGAAAGTGGTAACCGTCGCCTATAGACATGAGCAGTACCATGGACATAACAGAGTATACTGTTTCGCCCATGATAACCCCCATACGTTGCCATTCCTGAGGACTCAGGTATTATTCCTCTGTACCCAGTTAATTCACGCCATATTCCACCCTTCAAATCGAAACGCAGCCATGCAAACACAACTGCTTCGTTGAAACACGAATGAGACAGAGGTACCCAAGCAATCGACTTTTGTACAAAGTCTCCCTCTGGTAAAACCTATTCTAATATATAATATATATAGATATATGTACATTATATTTATGTTTTTCAACAGATGATAGAAAGAGACAGAAGAGCACAGCAGCAGGCACAGTTCCTCTCGGAACGTGATAGACAAATCGTCATGCAGAATAGAGAAAGGTATAGTCCATTTTCGTCACAGATTGTACTCAATAATGAAAGTCTAAGAATAGTGTTTGATCGTGGGCACACGTGGTGGCTCTGTAGATGGCTCAGTAGATGAAACTCGAAAATAGTGTTCGGTCGAGCACTAGCAACCGCAAGTCGCAACTATTAGTTCTGTCGATCGTGGCAAGGCAAACAATATAATGTTTTGCTAATCTAGTGGAAGATGCTCACACGCAATGTTCACGCTAATATAAATAAATAGTTGCTGAGAATAATTTTCAGTTTTATGTTTCCCCTCTTAATAAAATAAGAAATACACTACAATACTACACAATTGTGTACTGAACTATGTTGTTTCATTTGTGATTTCAAGAAGTTATGTAATTGGTAGATCGCACAGGGTTTCGTCAGTAAACAGTAGGTCTTGTTGTTGACTCTCCTAGTTGGTAAATATAAATAAATAAAACAATGTATACTTAACCCTTCTTTGCATACTGGTGGAAATTTCCATCATAACATTGAATGCCCAAAAATTATATAAAAGAACAAGTTCACTTCAAGTTGATCGTGTCTGGATGCCTTTTTAATGTCGGTTGCAAAAAAAAACATAGCTGTCAAATGTGACAGCTATGTTTTTTTTTTTTGCAACGACATTAAAAAGGCATCCAGACACGATCAAATTTTTTTAACCATTTTCCTTTAATTTTGAACATGAATTATATCACCTTGATTTATTTCACCAATAATAATGATACCATAAAATCATGCAAAGAAGGCTCAATAAGAGTGTGCGTTCGTGTGTCCCAGGGAACGTATGGCGATGCAGGAGCGCCACATAGCGATGGAACAGCAACACCATCAAAACCAAATGATGCACGACAGGCATCACATACAACATGTAAGTGTGAAGTACACGCGCCGGGAAATCACGGCTTGTTTTTGATTTTCTTATGACTTGACGCTGTAACAAGTTTGCTAAAACTTATTTATGTTTTGTTATTTAATGTTGGTGGCATAATGGGTTATCTTATAACTCCATTATGAACCGATTGGGAAATTCCTATTTTATTATTTGAAAGGGATATATTGTCAGGTGTCAGTCAGTTTGGTCCTGTAAAAATGTTGTCAAAATCGATATAGGAGTTTACTTTTTAAAATAACTGTTTTTTTTTTATAAATCAAAATATGTAATAGATTTTTTTTTATAATTGAAATCATTTTTTTTTTTCGTAACATAATCTTAATGTGTATCAATTTTTTTTAATAAATCTTTAAACACAAATTTGAGTAGTTATTAAAAAGTTAAATTCCAAATTTAAGTAAAGGAGTTGTGAAGTAACAAACATAAAGTAACAAAGTATTAACATTACGTATAATAACAACTGCCTGCTTTTTTGAAATCGGTTGAAAAGTGCCATTTCATTGTCGTACTATACACGGTACTAATTGCAATATGTGAATAAGAAACCTATGGAAACGAGTGTTTATTTGATTTGTGCTTTCAGAAAGCGCAAAATGGTCTCCTCCGAGATTTTTAAAATTAATGCTTTTTAAAAATTCCTTCTACTCTTCATTATTGTGTCTAATGTGTATCAGTAAAAATTTTTGTGTATACGTACAGGCGAGCTGCGATAGTAATCGTCCAGGGCCTGGGGTGGGGCCGAGTGCAGGCGCGGGCTACGGCGCGCCCAAGCTGCGGGCCCTGGCGCCGCACCTGCTCGACAGGAAGGACAGGTGCCGTTCAAGTTCAATTGAACTTCTCATCAACGTTTCCTTTGTCTTAGAATGACAAACAAACTGGCGGCCCACCTGATGGAAAGTGGTAACCGTCGCCTATACACATGAGCAGTACCATGGACATAACAGAGTATACTATTTCGACCATGATGCCATACATGCGTTGCCATTCTTGTGGACTCTGGTGTTATTCTCTGTACCCTGTAAATTCGCTACCATATTTCACTCTTCAAACCAAAATAGAGTCATGCAAACAACTGCTTCACGATAGAAACACAAATGGAAATTGTCTTATTGTTAAAAGTATTTTTTTTTACACTACGTTTAATTGTCGGATACAGGTTATGGGCCCAATATCTCTACAATGTTTACTCTTTGAATTCTATAATCGAACAAAAGTATAAAGTTGCTAAAATTGACACACATGTAGTCATAGGCGTATTTAAGGATGGGCCGTGCCCACCTTAAAATTGTTTTGTGCCCACTCTAGGATTTAAGTAAAGTATTGCACTGACGTATCTGAGAGTAGAGTTTTATTTATGGGGTGAAACTCATCCTAGAAAATAAGCTTAAAAACGCCACAATACATTTAGTCTCTGCATCTATTTAAATCTATTTGTACATATATCACCAATTACTATTATTATTTAATAATTTTTTTGTTTTATCTTTTTTATTTAGAGGCTTTTATCCTGTAAGGATATGTCAGCCTCATCATACCCTAATTTTATAAAATACCTCACATACTTAAAACATTGACACATAAATAAATAATACATAATGTCTTAGTAGTCTATTTTGATAAAGGTAATTTTTGATACAAAAATATAGTAATTAAAGATTTTGCCATTCCGGAATGTGGCTCTGCGAGTATATTTGAAAATAAACCAATCTCCTGTCTATTGAGACTGTATTTAATAGTTACTGTTATTATTGTTAACTTTGTCGACATAGGTCGAATAATATTTAGGCCTATATCGACAGACAACTTGACCAACATAATGGTTGCTAGAAAGCTAGCTAAGTAATAAGTAGTATGTAAGTTAAAGTAAAATTGTGGTCAGAGATTAAAGGCTTTATTATTATATTGTTAACTTTAATGAAACTCCATCTCATTCATGTTGTGTTAACACATTTCAGGATATCGATGTTATGTCTTGTACGTCTATTGTTGATCGATATATAACATTTGCATTACAGCCGACCTCCCGCGGTAACAGTGAGTTCGGCGGGCCCGACCGGGACTGGTCCAGTGGCAGGGCCTGGGACGGCGAGTGGGCCTACGCCGGGACCAGGGGCCGGGCCCGGGACGAACTCAGCGGCGACGGCGAGCGCGGCGGCTACTATGAGTAGCGAAGCGCGAGCCCGAGCCGCCGAGGGGAAGCTGACTGCCGCCTCCCTCATCGACGCCATCATCACGCACCAGATCAGCCAAACCTCTGACACCCAGAGGTTCCCGGTTAGTAGCCAACTCAGTTGAGTCAAAGACATACACACGCACATAAAAAATATATTTTTAATATTCTGTCTCTTTCTTTCGATACAAATATTTTGCAATAAAATTACAAAATATACTCAACTAAAATAGGTTTAAGACAAATAAAGTTTGTATGATAAATAAGATTATATTCTTTAAATAATTCTCTTAAATAAGATTTAATTGAAAATACACCGGATTCCCAAAATCCCACAAATATATGTAAAGAGACATATAATAATGATACTTTATTTAATCTCTCTTAAATGTTTTAAATTAAGCAATTAAATACTCGTTCCCTATATTTTTCGACTCAACAATCTGTTTTTATAGGCGATGCGGGAGTGTGATAACGGGCCATCGAACCAGCAGCAGGACCGCCCTGATCGCGGGCCGACGCCGGCTGACCGCGAGCGCGAGCGTGAACGCGATCGCGAACGTGACCGTGACCGCGAGCGTGACCGCGAACGGGACCGCGAGGAAGCGCACGCGACTGCAACCGCGGCCGCCATGGCTGCTGCGCACACTACCAGCATCAAGCTCGGAGACCTCGCATCCAACATCATCACTAGGGACTTCTGCAGTCCCACTACATCCCTTATGCACCACAAGTGTGTTATATTTTATTTTCTTATATTTGTATATGCCTCGACTTGTTTTATTTGTCCTCCAATTCTGTGTTTTTATTTATTTAATAATTATTAAAATACTTGTGTAAAAATAGAATAGTAATGTACAGAGCTTCCGGATCTCCATTATGGGGAATGCTCCATTATAGGAGAGGTGTTATGGAAACTTTCTGTAGATGCTAATTTTCATGTTGTGCCGGCAGTAGTCGGTTCGCGCCGACGACGGAGTCGTACGGCAGCGACGAGTGGAAGCGACGCGACGGCAAGCACGGACCCTTCCTAGAGCCCGTGTCGCCGCCAGACACCCATCATCAGAACAGGTAACTCGTTTACTCTAGAACATCCACTGTTTTTTTTTTTTTTGGAGGATTATGAGAGGAGGAAGTTAAATCTCATAAAAACGATCTCTCGTATCACGCCCTCACATGCATTTTAAAGAGTCAGTGGATGCAGGTGATTCAGGACCATTTCTAAATTCACTGAATAACTTACTGACACGTTTCAGTACATTTTGGGTTAAAAAAAATTTTTTTAAAAATATGTTAAATTCGAAAATATTTTACTAGATCACGGATATCAATAATATGGATTCCAGACTAACATTGTCTGCTTTTTATTTCCATTCACATGTTTAAATGTATGTGTTGTAGCTTAGCGACTCGATAGCTGGACGTTGGCTGTCCTGTGACCTCTATTAATATATTTTTTGACAAAGGTTTCTTTATCTAAAGAAACCTTTATCAAAAACTGAACGTTTTATCTAAAACATTCAGTTACATTGGTAGAATACTTCTTTCAGATTTTTCATTTAAATTCCAATTTCACCTTGTTTAATATGAATATTAACCGAAGCCATTCTCCGTTGTTTGCAGAAACAACAGCAACCGGCGTTACAGCGGCGTGGGTAGTGTGGGTGGCGTGGGCAGCGTGGGGTCGGTTGGCGGCGTGGGCGGCGTGGGCGGTGGCGGCGGCGGCGTGCTGACGGCGTTCGACTACGTGACCAACCGCATCGTAGAGGTGATGCGTAGCGACGCGGACGAGCGCGGCAAGCCGCTGCCGTTCCCGGCCGCCGCCGCCTACGCCTACCCGTACTCCGCGCTCAACGTCGCCACGCCGCCTGCCCAGCACCACGCCACCATACAGGATGGTCAGTATACTCACTCTCTCTCTGTGTGTGTGTGTCTCTTACACTTACTTCCTCTCACACTCTATGTGTGTTTCCTTTACTCCTCTCTCTTCCACACTCTCTTTCACACACCGAGTACACTCTCGGTAAAATAAATAAACCTCGGTAGAAATTTCTTTCACTCTTCTTCTCTCTTAATATTTTTCTCTTGTATACACACTGTATAAAGGTCAAGTCTATATGGTAATATTATTAGTAATAGCCCTGTTAGTGTCCGTTACTGACAATTCTCGTCCTCCATACTTGGTTGTTATTTCACTCAAACGTAATATTTAAAAACAATGCGCTCTCAATCTTCTCTTTCACTCTCTTTTTTTTATCTCGTAACAACACAATAATGTCCCTAATGATTTTTTATTTGTCAATGGATGTAAATAGAATTGTACCACCGCCTGTGCTATTTATATACTATGGTGGGATACCAGTAAGTGACAGATAAAGTTGGAGACCCAGACAACCACGAGAGTTTCCATCAGGATCGATTGAAGATTAACCTAACATGGTATATTCTTTATGAACCCCATTACTAGTAATTCTCTCCCCCTTCCCCCGAATATATAATAGTTTGATGAATTTTGTCTATGAGTATATATATTTATCTTTGATTTTATTTGCAGGCGCGTCGAGTACAAGCTCGGCGTCGGGCTCGGCGGGCGGCGCGGTCGGCGCGGTCGGCGCGGTCGGCGCGGGCGGCGTGGCAGCGCCGGGCCCGCCCGAGCCGGCGCCGCTGATGTCGGCGCAGTACGAGCCGCTGTCCGACGAGGACTGACACCGCCGCGCTAGCGCCGCCACCACGTGAACAGTCCGTGGACCTCGACGAGTCAACTTATTTTATAGTAACGTAATGCAGGGATTACCGTACGTGTGTTGTGGGAAGCTTTAAGTGTCCGACGTGGAGGAATCTGCCGTAGCTGATACCGCTCACCTCTCGAACCTCGAGCGCTCAAGTGGACCGCCAGTGCAGTGAACGGCTCGTGAGCGCTGACTCTATCGGTCGCAGTTCGTCGTCAGCCGAGCGACGCGTCCCGCGGCGCCGTGCCGCCAGTTTACTACTCGATTGTGATACAGTCTATGTTTAATTGTTTAGTCTCTAGCCTGCGAGCGATGAATTTGAAAATTCTGTATTCTAGTAGCACTGCCGCTAAAGTGATGCAAAATTACCTCAGTATATTTTAAGTGGCAGACGAGGGATATATCGATGTGCGATTCTAAAAGAAGTTAAATTGTTTGTAATATTTTTATCCAGTCTTCCATCGCCACTCTGACACTGGAGCCGGTTACGAAGGCGCGGGTCCCGCGGGACGGCCGTCCCCGCTGTCACGCAGCCGTCCCGCGGGACCAGCACCGAACCCCTCTACTAGGATAGGATCTCCGCGCGACTTCGTCCATTACTTAGCTACACTTAGATACTTGTACATTGTATATATATTATTGTCGTATATGTATGACTCGACACTAGCCCGGCCGCATATTCGCAGATTCCTCGCTATGTGTTTCCGCCGAGCCCGCCTGCCGTCGGCGGCCGCGGGGGGAGCTGCCCGTCGATCGTTAACTCAAATATTGGACGTAAGCTCGTAGGCGTTATATATAGCCAGCTCCAGGATCGACCCGCCGCTCCTCCCTCCTCTGTGTCGATGTGAATTGACTTATGAAGCGTGCGTGTCGATGCGACGCGACGCGACGCGTTATATTATTATGTTGGTACACTTTTGTAAGATTTATTTTGTAAATGCTTCGCTTCGGATTTCGCTGTCACATTCACGTCACTTAGCATAGTGTAAGTACGCATAGTGAATATCGTTTCGTGTAAATAGTTCATCGCATTCTTTTTTTTTTTTTGTATGTATAGTTTGTGTACGTCGGCGCCGGCGCAGCGAAGTCCGGAACGCATCGAATCGCAACTTTTCTATACTCGACGAAATTCGGATCTAGAATATTGAACTGTTTAAAAACTCTAATTATATATATAGCGTACTCCGGAAAAATGATAAAACGGTAAATTATATACATATGTAAAAGTGTATGGTTATGTGTAAACACTGTGCATTTGTAATTATACAGAAGTTAGTTAAGCTTTACTATAGAGATTTCTTTTATTAAGTTAGACCGGCCGACGTGGCCCGTTATAAATATTGAAGGATGGTGCGAATGCGACAGGGCGTGTGGTGCGACCGTGGTGCGAACGTGGTGTGAATGCGGCGCGTGCGTAGTGCGAGTGTGGAGTGTGGTGCGAGACGTGAGGCGTGCGTAGTGCGAGTGCGGAGCGTGCGTAGTGCGAGTGCGGAGCGTGCGTAGTGCGAGTGTAGAGCGTGCATAGTGCGAGTGCGAGTGTGGAGAGTACGTAGTGCGAGTGTGGAGCGAGCGCGGCCGTGAGCGCGGCCGCCGCCGGCGCTAGACGTCACGCACTTTACTTTGCGACAAATACCACACGGTTGCGTTTTTAAACTACCCGCTATTTCCGCCTCCGCCTAAATATAGTGCTAGATCTTTTCCCAGTTTTTTTTTTTATTTTAATTTTTTTTTTTTATTATTTACAATTTATTTCAATTTTTGACAATCATGATAAATGACGATTCAGTATTCGAAGGATATGAACTCTGTACAACAATACAATATGTATATATATTTTGTTATCGTTGTACCTGAATCTCTTGATAATTCATCAAGCTTGTACAATATGCTTATATTTTCATACACACACATTTAATAAGATTATCTAATTATTATTATTATTATTTAGAAAAAAAAAAATATCAACTCAAGTGTTCGCCGGTGTGTTTAAAAGCGCAAGCGTCATTATATATTTGTAAATGTTTTCGAGTTAACTTGTAAAATAAAACGACTGATTAAATTAATTTGAGAGCGCGCCCGCGAGCGGCCGGCGCCGCGGCCGACAGCGGCGCCCACTCACCACATTGTGATTTCTTTATAAAACTGTAATGTAATTGTAAGTAGCCGAAAAGAAAACATAATCCTTGTAAGTCCGAACATAAGCGAAAACAAAGTTTTGGGAGGACAAATCAATAAATATGATGCAAATCTATCTTTCCGTTTTATTTTCTAATCAATTCACACCATTATTGGCTAATGTTTCCTTAACAAATGTACCAAATATCGTACACAAAGCAACCACGCTTCGAAATCAACTTCCAGCAGCAGTATTTCCGAAACGATACGACATTATAACCTTCAAGAAAAGAGAATATTCCTTTTTAAAAGGAATATGCAGGCAGTACACCTGGAATGCCGTTGGTGTTGTGAGCGGTCATGGGCGGCGGTAGTCACTTACCATCAGACGAGCCGCATGCTCGTTTGCACTCTGTGTTTTTAAAAAATAATGTACACAATAACACTAGTAAAAGAAGGAGACTTTGTACAAAAGTCGACTGCTTGGGGGTATCCAAGCAATCGACTTTTGACGAATGGGACAGAGGTATCTATCCCATTCGTGTTTCAACCGTGAAGCAGTTGTGTTTGCATGGCTGTGTTTCAGTTTGAAGGGTGGGATATGGCGTGAATTTACTGGGTACAGAGGAATAATACCTAAGTCCTCAGGAATGGCAACGCATGGGGGGTATCATGGGCGAAACATACTCTATACTCTGTTATGTCCATGGTACTGCTCATGTGTACGCGACGACGGTTACCACTTTCCATCAGGTGGGCCGTCAGCATGTTTGCCATTCTAAGTTGTATACAAAAAGAGGCTAAGTATAATTTCACGCTACACTAAGTGCTACCTTATGGATGCAACTTGGCAAATGGTAATAGTCGCTTTTAAACATGAACGGTACCATGAACATAACAAAGTTGTTTAATGGGAGGAAATGGAATAGTAATCCCCCCCACCCCTTGTACTGTCGGTATAGGCTGGCGGAGCATCCGTGAGGGATGATAGGTGGGGATGAAGCAGGTCAGCATCACGACTAAGATAGTGTCCAGGAGGAACCACGTGGAGGTCAACCGGATAGGGTATATTGCTAGTAATGGCGTCGTTAAATATACATTATTAACAATCCCTTCCCCCGGAACTTAACACAGTTAACTTAACACTTGACGAGTAGCACTTGACACTCGGACACTCGACACTCGCACCTGACACTCCACACTCGCACCTGACACTAGACACTCGCACTTGACACTCGGACACTCGACACTCGGACACTGGACTCTCGACACTCGCACCAGACACTCGGACACTGTACACTCGACACTCGGACACTGGACTATCGAGACTTTCGCGCTTGTCACTCGGACACTGGACACTCGACACTCACACCTGACACTCGGACACTGTACACTCGACACTAGGACACTGGACACTCGACACTCGGACACTGGACACTCGCACTTGATACTCGGACACTCGACACTCCGACATTCGGACACCGGACATTCGACATTCTCGCACTTGACACTTGGACTCTCGACACTCGCATTTTACACTCGGACACTGGACACTCGCACTTGACTCTCCACACTCGGACATTGTACACTAGACATTCGCACCTGACACTCAGACACTGTACACTCGACACTAGGACACTGGACTATCGACACTTTCGCGCTTGACATTCGGCCACTGGACACTCGACACTTTCGCACTTGACACTCGACACTCTAGCACTTGACACTCGACACTCTCGCACTTTGACACTTGGACACTCTCGTACTTGAGATTCGGACACTAGACACTCGACACTCGCACTTGACACTCGGACACTCGACACTCGCACCTGATACTGTACACTGGACACTCGACACTCGGACACTGGACACTCGATATTCGCACCTGACACTCGAACATGGACACTTGACACTCGTACCTGACACTCGGATACTGGACACTGGACATTCGACACTTGCACTTGACACTCGAACACTGGACACTGGACACTCGACCTTCACACCTGACACTCGAACATGGACACTTGACACTCGTACCTGACACTCGGACACTGGACACTGGACACTGGATACTCGGACACTGGACACTGGACACTCGACACTCACACCTGACACTGGACACTCGACACTCACACCTGACACTCGGACACTGTACACTCGACACTAGGACACTGGACACTCGATATTCGCACCTGACACTCGAACATGGACACTTGACACTCGTACCTGACACTCGGACACTGGACACTGGACATTCGGACACTGGACACTTGACACTCGGACACTGGACACTCGACACTCGCACCTGACACTCGGACACTGGACACTCGACACTCTAGCACTTGACAATCGACACTCTCGCACTTTGACACTTGGACACTCTCGTACTTGAGATTCGGACACTAGACACTCGACACTCGCACTTGACACTCGGACACTCGACACTCGCACCTGATACTGTACACTGGACGCTCGACACTCGGACACTGGACACTCGACACTCGAACCTGACACTCGGACACTACACTCCACACTCGGACACTCGACACTCGACACTCGGACACTGTACACTCGACACTAGGACACTGGACACTCGACCTTCACACCTGACACTCGGACACTATACACACGACACTAGGACACTGGACTCTCGACACTCGGACACTGGACACTCTCGCACTTGACATTTGGACACTCGACACTCGCACTTGACACTCGCACTTGACACTCAGATACTCGACACTCGCACACACTCGGACACTGGACACTCGACACTCGGACACTGGACACTGGACACTCGACACTCGCACTTGACACTCGACACTCAACACTCAACACTCTCGCACTTGACCCTCGGACACTAGACACTCGACACTCGTACCTGACACTCGGACTCTGGACACTCGATATTCGCACCTGACACTCGAACATGGACACTTGACACTCGTACCTGACACTCGGACACTGGACACTCGACCTTCACACCTGACACTCGAACATGGACACTTGACACTCGTACCTGACACTCGGACACTGGACACTGGACACTGGATACTCGGACACTGGACATTCGGACACTGGACACTTGACACTCGGACACTGGATACTCGACACTCGCACCTGACACTCGGACACTGGACACTCGACACTCTAGCACTTGACAATCGACACTCTCGCACTTTGACACTTGGACACTCTCGTACTTGAGATTCGGACACTAGACACTCGACACTCGCACTTGACACTCGGACACTCGACACTCGCACCTGATACTGTACACTGGACGCTCGACACTCGGACACTGGACACTGGACACTCGACACTCGAACCTGACACTCGGACACTACACTCCACACTCGGACACTCGACACTAAGACACTGGACACTCGACACTCACACCTGACACTCGGACACTGTACACTCGACACCAGGACACTGGACACTCGACCTTCACACCTGACACTCGGACACTATACACACGACACTAGGACACTGGACTCTCGACACTCGGACACTGGACACTCTCGCACTTGACATTTGGACACTCGACACTCGCACTTGACACTCAGATACTCGACACTCGCACCTGACACTCGGACACTGGACACTCGACACTCGGACACTGGACACTGGACACTGGACACTCGACACTCGCACTTGACACTCGACACTCAACACTCTCGCACTTGACACTGGACACTCGACACTCGCACTTGACACTCGACACTCGACACTCAACACTCTCGCACTTGACCCTCGGACACTAGACACTCGACTCTCGTACCTGACACTCGGACACTGGACACTGGACACTCGGACACTGGACACTCGATATTCGCACCTGACACTCGAACATGGACACTTGACACTCGTACCTGACACTCGGACACTGGACACTCGACCTTCACACCTGACACTCGACCTTCACACCTGACACTCGAACATGGACACTTGACACTCGTACCTGACACTCGGACACTAGACACTGGACACTCGACACTCACACCTGACACTCGGACACTGTACACTCGACACTAGGACACTGGACACTCGATATTCGCACTTGATACTCGAACATGGACACTTGACACTCGTACCTGACACTCGGACACTGGACACTGGACACTCGGACACTGGACACTGGATACTCGGAGACTGGACACTGGACACTCGACACTCGCACCTGACACTCGGACATGGACACTTGACACTCGTACTTGACACTCGGACACTGGATACTAGACACTCGACACTTGCACTTGACACTCGGACACTGGACACTGGACACTAGACACTCGCACCTGACACTCGGACAGTGGACACTCGACACTCTAGCACTTGAAAATCGACACTCGCACTTTGACACTTGGACACTCTCGTACTTGAGATTCGGACACTAGACACTCGACACTCGCACTTGACACTCGGACACTCGACACTCGCACCTGATACTGTACACTGGACACTCGACACTCGCACCTGACACTCGGACACTACACTCCACACTCGGACACTCGACACTCGACACTCGGACACTGTACACTCGACACTCACACCTGACACTCGACACTAAGACACTGGACACTCGACACTCACACCGGACATTCGGACACTGTACACTCGACACTAGGACACTGGACACTCGACCTTCACACCTGACACTCAGACACTATACACACGACACTAGGACACTGGACTCTCGACACTCGGACACTGGACACTCTCGCACTTGACATTTGGACACTCGACACTCGCACTTGACACTCGCACTTGACACTCAGATACTCGACACTCGCACCTGACACTCGGACACTGGACACTCGACACTCGGACACTGGACACTGGACACTCGACACTCGCACTTGACACTCGACACTCGACACTCAACACTCTCGCACTTGACACTCGGACACTAGACACTCGACACTCGTACCTGACACTCAGACTCTGGACACTCGACACTCGCACCTGACACTCGGACACTACACTCCACACTCGGACACTCAAAACTCGACACTCGGACACTGGACACTCGGACACTGTACACTTGACACTCACACCTGGCACTCGGACACTGTACACTGGACATTCGACACTCGCACCTGACACTCGGACACTGGACACTCGATACTCGTACCTGACACTCGGACACTGGATACTCGACACTCGCACCTGACACTCGGACACTGGACACTCGACACTCGCACCTGACACTCGGACACTGGACACTCGATACTCGTATCTGACACTCGGACATGGACACTCGACACTCGTACCTGACACTCGGACACTGGACACTCGACTCTCGACACTTGCACTTGACACTCGGATACTAGACACTGGACACTCGACACTCGCACCTGACACTCGGACACTGGACACTCGACACTCGTACCTGACACTCGGACACTTGGCACTGGACACTCGACACTCGCACCTGACACTCGGACACTGGACACTCGATACTCGTACCTGACACTCGGACACTGGACACTCGGACACTGGACACACGACACTTGCACTTGACTCTCGGATACTGGACACTCGACACTCGTACCTGACACTCGGACACTGGACACTCTCGCACTTGACATTTGGACACTCGACACTCGCACTTGACACTCGCACTTGACACTCAGATACTCGACACTCGCACCTGACACTCGGACACTGGACACTCGACACTCGGACACTGGACACTGGACACTCGACACTCGCACTTGACACTCGACACTCGACACTCAACACTCGCACTTGACACTCGGACACTAGACACTCGACACTCGTACCTGACACTCAGACTCTGGACACTCGACACTCGCACCTGACACTCGGACACTACACTCCACACTCGGACACTCAAAACTCGACACTCGGACACTGGACACTCGGACACTGTACACTTGACACTCACACCTGGCACTCGGACACTGTACACTGGACATTCGACACTCGCACCTGACACTCGGACACTGGACACTCGATACTCGTACCTGACACTCGGACACTGGATACTCGACACTCGCACCTGACACTCGGACACTGGACACTCGACACTCGCACCTGACACTCGGACACTGGACACTCGATACTCGTATCTGACACTCGGACATGGACACTCGACACTCGTACCTGACACTCGGACACTGGACACTCGACTCTCGACACTTGCACTTGACACTCGGATACTAGACACTGGACACTCGACACTCGCACCTGACACTCGGACACTGGACACTCGACACTCGTACCTGACACTCGGACACTTGGCACTGGACACTCGACACTCGCACCTGACACTCGGACACTGGACACTCGATACTCGTACCTGACACTCGGACACTGGACACTCGGACACTAGACACACGACACTTGCACTTGACTCTCGGATACTGGACACTCGACACTCGTACCTGACACTCGGACACTGGACACTCGACACTCGTACCTGACACACGGACACTTGGCACTGGACACTCGACACTCGTAATTGACACTCGGACACTGGACACTGGACACTCGACACTCGCACCTGACACTCGGACATGGACACTCGGACATGGACACTTGACACTCGTATCTGACACTCGGACACTGGACACTGGACACTCGACACTCTCACTTGACACTCGGACACTAGACACTCGATACTCGTACCTGACACTCGGACACTTGACACTGGACACTCGACACTCGGACACTGGACACTCGACACTTGGACACTGGACACTCGACACTCGTACCTGACACTCGGACACTGGACACTGGACACTCGACACTTGCACTTGACACTCGGACACTGGACACTGGACACTCGACACTCGCACCTGACACTCGGACACTGGACACTCGATACTCGTACCTGACACTCGGACACTTGACACTGGACACTCGACACTCGCACCTGACACTCGGACACTGGACGCTCGACACTGGACACTCGACACTCGGACACTGGACACTCGACACTCGGACACTGGACACTCGACACTCGTACCTGACACTGGACACTCGACACTTGCACTTGACACTCGGACACTGGACACTCGATACTCGTATCTGACACTCGGACATGGACACTCGACACTCGTACCTGACACTCGGACATGGACACTTGACACTCGGACACTGGACACTCGACACTCGCACCTGACACTCGGACACTGAACACTCGACACTCGTACCCGACACTCGGATATGGACACTCGCACTTAATACTCGACACTCTCACACTTGACACTTGACACTCGGTCACTGGACATTCGGACTCTGGACACTCGACACTCACATCTGACACTCGGACATGGACACTCGACACTCGTACCTGACACTCGGACACTGGACACATGACACTCGGACACTGGACACTGGATACTCGACACTTGCACCTGACACTCGGACACTGGATACTCGACACTCGGACACTGGACACTCGACACTCATACCTGACACTCGGACAATTGGCACTGGACACTCGACTCTCGCACCTGACACTCGGACACTGGACACTCGATACTCGTACCTGACACTCGGACACTGGACACTCGATATTCGTACCTGACACTCGGACACTGGACACTCGACACTCGGACACTGGACACTCGACACTCGCACTTGACTCTCGGTCACTGGACATTCGGCACTCGTACCTGACACTTGGACACTCGATACTCGACACTCGGATACTGGACACTCGAGACTCTCGCACTCGATACTCGGACACTGGACACTCGACTTTCTCGCACTTGACACTTGGACACTGGACTCTCGAGACTCTCGCACTCGATACTCGGACACTGGACACTCGAGACTCTCGCACTCGACACTCGGACACTGGACAATCGACACTCGAGACTCTCGTACTTGACACTCGGACACTGGACAATCGACACTCGCACTTGACATTCAGACACTGGACACTCGACACTCGGACTTAACACTCAGACACTAGACACTGGACACTCATACCTGACACTCGGGCACTGGACACTCGACACTCGACACTCGGGCACTGGACACTCGACACTCACACTTGACTCTCGGTCACTGGACATTCGACACTCGTACCTGACACTTGGACACTCGCACTTGGCACTCGACACTCGGACACTGGACACTCGAGACTCTCGCACTCGATACTCGGACACTGGACATTCGACTTTCTCGCACTTGACACTTGGACACTGGACACTTGAATCTCTCGCACTTGACATTCAAATCTCTCGCATTTGATACTCGGTCACTCTTACAGTTAATAAATATACGATACAATGGTATAAGTATAATAATATAGCAAAATGGATAATAAAATGGTAACCACGCCTGCGCTATCGGTATACGCTGCCGGAGTCGACAGCGCAGGCTTCCAATTCTATTGTTACCCGTAAAAAAATAACCCTAATATTGCTTTAAATGTTTGTTTATACAACTTAGAATGGCAAACGAGCTGACGGGCCACCTGATGGAAAGTTTAATGAGAGCCCCAGGAAAGAACACCTGATGGAAAGTGGTAAACGTCGCCTATAGACATGTGCAGTACCATGGACATAACAGAGTATACTGTTTCGCCCGTGATACCTCCCATGCGTTGCCATTCCTGAGGACTCAGGTGTTATACCTCTGTACCCAGTAAATTCACGCCATATCCCATCCTTCAAACCGAAACACAGCCATGCAAACACAGCAGCTTCACGGTTGAAACACGAATGGGACAGTGGTGCAAGTAGTACAATAGTAGCAATCGACTATTGTACAAAGTCGCTCTGGTAACTTAGTTAAGTTACCAGAGCGAGACTTTGTTACCAGTTACCAGTTGGTAACCTCCTTTTTAGAAGTCGATTGAAAATGAAACAATGCAATAGTAGTAACAATTTATTACCATCATTCGTACACGCGTAACAAAACATCATTTATTTACATTCGTCATCTGGTGGCAACATTGGTACAAGTATCCAATTGAAAAACGTCCAAAGAAATTTTTATGTGTATGGCAAAGGCACCTCTTAGCAGACCCAACATTTTATTAAAACAAAAGCATTTAATTTCCCATGCTTTTTTACACAGTAAAAAGGCGATTGGGTCCGGCAAATCACTTCTATTACCAGGCTTTACAATAATTCCATTTAAATTAAAGTTTAAATAAAAAATATATACATAAATTGTGTACAAATAAATAATACAGACATGGGTAATATAAATAATAAAACATCTAAAAGTGTGTTACAGTTAAATATTTACTACAAGTTACAATTAATTGCTAGAGTATTAAGTTACACTTATGTACCATCGCCACCTATCGGCCAAGTTGTAAAATTAACTACATGATAAATTATAGAGGGCGCTACTTGATATAAACAATTGTCTTTGCTCACTGATATCACGATTGACTATTAGCGTATAAATAGTAGAATACGAAAATAAGAAATAGTAGAATACTAAAATAAGAGATAGTAGAATACAAAAGAGCTTGTGCTTACTTCGAAATCATTTCAATCATAAAATATATCGAAATACGTTTTTAATATTTTAAAGACTCCACCTCATATCGTCATATAAAATAATATTTTTGTTTTTGTATATATTTCACTAATAATCATTGTATACCGTATAGCGACATCTTGGTTTTTAAAATAATTGTTATCCACTATTGACAAGCAGCGCCCTCTACCGCACAAGTCCACAACTGGCCTGGCTACGAAGATATGACATTTACTTCTTAACAAAGTCTTCACCAGTCTTAATGTTCTTGAGGAGTTCAGGGATGGCGGCCTTGAGGAGCTGCTGCTCGAACTCGTTCAGCTGGCCGTAGCCGAGGTTCTTCTCCACTCCGTTCTTCCCCAGCACGACAGGGTTCGCGAAGTAAGCCGCCTCCGTGAGGTCAGACTTGATGTAGGCGCACTCCACGACGTTGGAATCTCCCTGGAGAAGATTTAGATTGACTGGATTAGATTGTTAAGGAATGCTTTTTCGATTGACTTCATAGAAGGAGGGTGTAGGTTGTATTTTTTATGTTTGTTACCTCAAAACTCTATCAATTATAAACCAATTTGGAAAATTCTTTCTTTATTTGAAAGTATATTGTTTTCTATCGGTTCCATAGTGATTTCATCAATGTCGGCTCAGCAGTTTGTTTGTAATTTCACTTCAGTGTAAAGCTCTATACTTGGTGACAGCAACACGAGTGGGGAGCGGAGGGATTGTTAGTAATGTTATATAATATATTCTGTTAGGTCGACCTCCACGTGGTCCACACTGAAAATCATCGTGCCGGGTTCCAAGTGTATTCATTATGATGGGCTAACTGACCTGTCTTTTCATCCTCACCAATCATCCCTCACTGGCATCCCGCCAGCGTATATCGATAGCGCAAGCGGGGTTGCCATTCCATTATCAGCCATTAAAAAAAAAGCAACACGAGCAAGACAGAAGTCCCCATGCACAATTTGTTTCTTTTATCTGATGTTCTTAATTTATTTCTAACTTTTACGTTGTTTTCATTCCAAGATCGACAATTCATTGTCTGATACTGAATGCTCACCTTCAATCCCCTGAGGACGGCGTCAGCGAGACGAGCGCCAGCAAACGCCATGGAGAGGGTGGCGGAACCACCACCGGCCTTCGCTTTGACCACCTAAAACATTATTACCAATTTTATAAATATCACTGAACATATTATACAACCCCATTAACCATCAACGTATGGTCCCGGCATAGAATGGGCCACCCCTTCCTTTCCCGTGGATGTCATAAGAGGCGACTAAGGAAACTTAAAGATCGACCAATGGGCACCAGCGTCTCTCTTAAAACATCACGAAACGCCAAATTCTAGTTGCTAACTCGCCTTCAAATACTTAACAATTCATTGCTAGCAATATACCCTTACCAGGTCGAACTCCAGGAGGTTCCACCTTGAAATCATAGTGAAAATTCTTGTGGAAATCTTTATGATGAGCTAATTGACCTGCTTTCGTTCTCACCTACCATCTCTCGCTGGTGTTCCGCCAGCGTATACCGATAGCACAGGTGGTGCTACCATTCCATTATCACCCATTAAAAAAAAACCGAAACGCAGCCACGCAAACATAACTGTTTCACGACAAATAATATCAAAATCTTTCTTTGTTAAGTTGGTCGAAGAACTCACCTCAGTGCCGGCCTCCTGTATCCTCTCCGTCAGAGCCTTGATCTTGGCTTGGTCGGTGAGCTTTACAGCCGGTTGGCTCTGACTCAGCAAGGGGATAATGGTCACTCCGGAGTGTCCACCGATGACCGGTATGGTAACAGAGCGAGGGTCCACGCCGTTGATTTCCCCGATGAAGGCGGCCGCGCGGACCACGTCGAGGGTCGTCACTCCGAGCACGCGGCGAGGGTCGTACACTCCAGCCTGAGGATCAATTAAGAATTTTTATTGTCAATTAAAATAATATTTAAATGTAAATAATAATAAATTATTATTATTTACATTTAAATTCTTTTTTATTAAAAAAAGAATTACAATATTGTTAATATTCATAATCCGTATAATTATAATATATTAATACATAATTTTTTTTGGTTCCGTTTATACCAAAGAGAAAGGCTTTGCCCATACATTTTTATTTCTTTTCTCCAATGGCAACCGGTTTTTACTTTTACGACCATTCCCGCCAGCGTTTAGTATTTCAATTTGAGTTTCATTCTTCAGAATATCGCCATGTTTAACGTTTCTCGCCTTTTTCGATCACCATGTTATACATTCGACCACCATGTTGAATCGACGAAAAACCAACCAACGTCGACCACAATTACAGTAGTAGTAGTGTATATATATATATATATATATATATATATACCCAACAAGGTCGACCTCCTCGCGGTTCTCCCTGAAAACTATCATGGTTAATTCCTGACGAATTCATCATGATGGGCTAACTGGCTTGTTTTCATTCTCATCTATCATCCTTCACTGGTGCTCCGCCAGCGTATCCCGTTAGCGCAGGCGGGGCTACCATACTATTTTCACCCATCAAAAAAAAAAAAACATTGATTTTGTACCCCCCCCCCCCCCCCCCCCCCCCCACACTTCTTTACGAGTAGGTCCAAGTTCAGCAGCGGGCAGATAACAGCCGACACGACGATACAATGTATCATGTATCACATCTCCCATATTTAGAACTAACAAAATTTTTCATCGTGTCTCCCACCAAACTGTTTATAATTACTCCTCTCCATCCAAAGGTTGCCTGGAAGAGATCGCTCTTAGCGATAAGGCCGCCCATTGTTTTCTCACTGTGATTATTTCTTGTAATTGTTTGTATCTATTTATAATAAGTTTACTATTGTAATCTTTTGGAGGAAACAATAAAGAGTATCTATCTTTTTTTTATTTTTTTTTATACAACTTAGAATGGCAAACAAGCTGACGGCCCACCTGATGGAAAGTAGTAACCGTCGCCTATAGACATGAGCATTAGCATGGACATAACAGAGTATACTGTTTCGCCCGTGATACCTCCCACGCGTTGCCATTCCTGAGGACTCAGCTGTTATTCCTCTGTACCCTGTAAATTCACAATCTATCTATCTATCATGAGCACGTGTGCGTCTATTCGATTTTAACTTTCGCCTTGACTGACTAACTACTGCGTGCCAAATACCTGACTGATAAAGTCCAAGCCATTTATTCATATACAATTCACTACTTATGCGCATCTCGTCTTCTTAATTTTATATATATTTATAAATACCCGTGTCACGATGTTTGTTTGTTTCACGTTAATTTCCGAAACCGATTTTAATGAAATTATGTAAACGTGTAAAGATTGGTGTCTGGAAGAGACTGCTTCAGCGATAAGACCGCCTTTTGTACTTCATATGTGTAATATATATTACAATACTAGCTGACCCAGCAAACGTTGTTATGCCATATACATTATTTGGAGAATATTTTTTTAGCCCATTAAAAACAAATATTGGTGAGGGTCACCCTTATCATTGAGGGGTAGGAAAAATAGATGTTGGCCGATTCTCAGACCTACCCAATATGCACACAAAATTTTATAAAAATCGGTAAAGCCGTTTCGGAGGAGTTTGGTAACAAACACCGTGGTGACACGAGAATTTTATATATAAGATATAAAATATGTATAATATATAAAATTTGCTATGTTGACTTAAAAACTAAACTACTAAACTGATTTTGATAAAACTTCTATAAGAGCGATCTGTACAAAAGTCGATTGCTTGGGTACCTCTGTCCCATTCGTGTTTCAACCGTGAAGCAGTTGTGTTTGCATGGCTGTGTTTCGGTTTGAAGGGTGGGATATGGCAGTGAATTTACAGGGTACAGAGGAATAACACCTGAGTCCTCAGTAATGGCAACGTATGGGGGGTATCATGCGCGAAACAGTTTACTCTTCTGTCTGTCCATGGTACTGCTTGTGTTTATAGGCGACGGTTACCACTTTCCATCAGGTGAGCCGTCAGCTTGTTTGCCATTATAAGTTGCATAAAAAAAAGTAAGTCAATGTTTCTACGACACACAAGCAGTAGTAAACATATCTATTGCGAGTCTCGTTAACCACTCTACTAGGTGGGCTTATGTAATAAAAAGTTAATACAGTGATATGCATGCCATATATGGTATAATACAATAACAGTTATCTATTTGATAAATTTAAATCAGAACTCAATTGTAATCTATCAACAACTGTATATCTTATTTATTTATTCATTAGTACATATATGTGTACATGGCGGACTTAATGCTAAAAGCATTCTCTCCCAGTCAACCATAGGGAAGTGTCAGAATACTCGAATGCGGTACTACTAATTATTGATATACATACATACTAAAATTACATATATAAACGAATAAATATATATGAATAACAAATATACTTACACATATATGACATATACTATATTATACACGAAATTGAGAATAATATAAAGCACTTACTGCTCGGATAAAGTAAAAAAGTGAGCATGAACGTTTTTTTTTAAAGACAGTTTAGTCGGTAGTCTCTTAATGGTGTCAGGAAGCGTGTTCCAGAGTCGTGAAGAATGTAGGAGAAAAGAATTTGAGCGAAACCAGTATCTTTACTTCCTCCTTCCTCCATCCTTTATAGTATTTATTCTTTATTGACTATATTACAAACAATTTTTAGTAAGAAAGACGGACTCGATGCTATATAGTATAGGGATGGCCGACTTGTTTAGACCCAAGATCCACTGTTTACTGACGAAACCCTGTGCGATCTACCAATTGCATACTTCTTGAAATCACAAATGAAACAACATAGTTCAGTACACAATTATGTAGTATTATAGTAGTTTTTATTTTATTAAGAGGGGAAACATAAAACTGAAAATTATTCTCAGCAACTATTTATTTATATTAGCGTGAACATTGCGTGTGAGCATCTTCCGCTAGATTAGCAAAATATTATATTGTTTGCCTTGCCACGATCGACTGGACTAATAGTCGCGATCGACCTGTTAGCCACCACTGTTATATTGCATTCTCTCCCAGTCAATCTTTGGTAAAACAGAAATGTAATTATGAACGGTGAAAAAAATTGAAAATGGTTAATAAATAATAATAATATTAAAGGCAATAATATCCAAATCATCTTTATATATATTTTTTTATACAACTTAGAATGACAAACAAGCTGACGGCCCACCTGATGGAAAGTGGTAACCGTCGCCTATAGACACGAGCAGTACCGTGGACATAACAAAGTAAAGTTATAGCATTAAACGCACCGCACGTGAGATTATGGTACGGTCAAAGTCCGCCCCGACAGATCGGTAATGTTTTTTTTTTTTTTTATGGATGATAATGGAATGGTTACCCCGCCTGCGCTAACGGTATACGCTGGTGGGGCACCAGTGAGGGATGATAGGTGAGGATAAAAATGCAGGTCGGTTAGCCTATCGTGACTAATTCAATGATAAATTAGTCACAATAGTTTCCAGGAGGAACCGCGTGGAGGTCGACCTGATAAGGTATATTGATAGCGATGGGGACTAACCTCCCCATTAATAACAATCCCTTCCCCCCAATGTTTGGTATTAATCGTACTGCACGCAGTGTTGCCACCGACGCAATGCAACTTTATGGCCTTACTAGTTTATTCTAGGGGGGAGAAGAGATTGTTAGTAAAGGGGATTAGTAGCCACATTGCTAGCAATTAACTATATCAGGTCGACCTCTTCGTGGTTCCTCCTGGAAACCATTGTGATTAATTTATTGTTAGATCCGTCACTGTGAGCTAACTGACCTACTTCATCCTCACCTATCATCACTCATTGGTGCCCCGGCAGCGTATACCAATAGCGCAGGTGGGGTTACCATTCCATTATCAAATAATCATAAAAAAATAGCATTTCTATATTTATTCAGAAGTTAATATAGTTGCTTAGAAATATTGAAAATCGATTGATAATGTGAACACGTGGCCAGACTTCTGTACGAATGACCTGAAGCGTGATTAAGTAACAAAGTAGCAAATATCCAAAGTCCGAAGATCTTGTCAGCTATTATCACACACATTCATCTACATACAAATTATAAATCTGTATGTAGACAAATTAAATGCTCACAGATTATTTATTATTATTCAGAATGTATCCCGCATGTATCGTTTGCTTTCGTCCAATATACGCTTTCGTTATGTCAATATACGCTTGTTTTAATTTTCATTAAGCTTTATAAAACAGATTATTTATTATTATTCACCAGAATGTATCCCGCATTGTACAAAAGTCGTTTGCTTGGCCACCTCTGTTCCATTCGTGTTTCTACCGTGAAGCAATTGTGTTTGCATGGCTGTGTTTCGGTTTGAAGGGTGGGATATGGCGTGAATTTACAGGGTACAGAGGAATAACACCTATGTCCTCAGGAATGGCAACGCATGGAGGGTATCATGGGCGAAACAGTATACTCCGTTATGTCCATGGTACTGCTCATGTCTATAGGCGACGGTTACCACTTTCCATCAGATGGGTCGTCAGCTTGTTTGCCATTTTGTTGCATAAAAAAATATATCAGCCGGCAACTATCCACTGCTGAACATAGGCCTCCTCCATAAGGGGGGTTTTACTAGTAGTTGCCACGTTTGGCAGTCTAGTTGGCAACCGCGATTAGGCTTTGGTGTGGTTTTAAGAGGGACGCTGCTGTCCATCTCTCGACCATTACGTTCCCTTAGTCGCTTCTTACAACACCCATAAAAGAGGATCATTACTCAAATTTCGCTTGTAGTAAACCCTTGTTTCATACAATTGCTACTACTCGAATTAAAAAATACATGATAAATAAATTATATATATATTTTTTTTATCAAAATGTCCGGTTCGATATATTTGATAATAAATTAATTTTATCACAGATAATCAATCAAACACAATCAATAAGAATTCTGGCACTCTAGACAAGTGGCATGCGAATTTGTCGATGGAATCGACATAGCTAGCAAGTCCGTAAGTTGGAATGAGACATCCAACGTTGCTATCTCATTCTATCTTACAGACTTGCTAGCGATGTCGATTCTCACGACGAATTCGCTTGCTACTTGTTTACAGGGCCAGATGTAGACATGTCCAGAGTAGCAATCGAGCGGGAAACCTACAAATTGGCTTATTTAAGACTAGCTAGTCACTATTAGCTAGGCACACTTCCCTACTAGGAATAACTACATAGGAAACACTAGGTGTCATGTCATGTAGGGAGGTCAAAGATATGGCCTGGGATAGAGCTGGCTGGAAGAGGATGCATGAATTAGTTGCACCGACAAGAGGAAATTCTTAAATGAAGAGAGAGTAGTATCCTGCGTCTTCGTCCGCGTGAATAAATACATAAACTGTGTGCTAAGTGAGAATATATTCTATCCGTGCACCAAATATCATACAAATCTGTTCAACAGTTTTTTCATGAAAGTGTTACAAACTTTTACATTTATTAATACGATATTTTCAACCCCCAATCGGTTTTTTTTTTTACAATGAGTGAATATGGAATAGTAATTCTATTGGAGCTAACGGGATACGCTGGCGGAGCACCAGTGAAGGATGATAGATGAGAATGAAAACAGGTCAGTTAGCCCATCATGATGAATTCATCAGGAATTAACCATGATAGTTTCCAGGGAGAACCGAGAGGTCGATCTGGTTGGGTACATTGCTAGCAATGGGATTCTCAGTTACTAACAATCCCTTCCCCCCCAGTGTATACTGTTAGCGCAGGCGAGGTAATCACTCCATTGTGATCCATTAAAAAAAGGCCTATGCGTAGCAATGGCTTGTTGTATCTACCAGGGCCATAGCTAGACTCATGGTTAAAAAAGGCCAAAAGAACTTTTTGGTAGGGCAGAAGCCATAATGAAGTAAGAACGAAAAATAAAAATAAAAAGTAACGAAGAAGACTTCGAAAAGGCGAATTTGTCTAAATTTCTTGGGACCTTCCATTTTAAGGTAGAGCATTGGGTCTTGTAAGGTAGGGCATTGCCCCTCAATCCCCCCCCCCCCCAGCCATGCTCTACACTTAACTAAATAAAATGATAATTACAATAAGAAAAACATATGCAGGAACATGACGTCAGCACGTGTTGTTTATTGTATGTGTACAGTCGATGAATAGTTCACTGTCCCAATAGTACCATAAATATAAATGACAAATACCTTATCATTTGTATATATAATGTCATAACAGTAAAGTATGTGTAGATATTGCGTAAATTTTTTTTTTATACAACTTAGAATGGCAAACAAGCTGACGGCCCACCTGATGGAAAGTGGTAACCGTCGCCTATAGACATGAGCAGTAGCATGGACATAACAGAGTATATGGTACTGTTTCGCCCATGATACCCCCCATGCGTTGCCATTCCTGAGGACTCAGGTGTTATTCCTATGTACCCTGTAAATTCACGCCATATCCCACCCTTCAAACCGAAACAGCCATGCAAACACAGCTGCTACACGGTTAAAATACGAATGTCACCACCCGTGCGACGCCGGGATAGCGGCCCGTCCCGGCGTCGCACAGTTATATATGTTTTAAAAATTAGATAAGAATTAATATAATTAATTATAAAATTTGGTTACGTCTCCTCGTCATTTGTGAAATAAATAAATATAGCAAAAAGATTAAAAAAAGTGGTACCCAAAACGTAATTTAAAATTTAAATTTGCAAAAAAAAAAATGCATTTCAATACTGATTGAATATCGCACCTAAATTGTTAAAACAGTTATTAAAATGGGCTAAAACACCGCATAAGATATCCTAGATACCTACACACATAAAAAATATAGTGGAATTGAGACTTCGACCTTGAAATGACCTTCTCCTTTTTAAAGTCGCTTAATAACATCTAAAAACTAATCTACGAAAAAGAAGAAAATGTTAGCCGTGTGGTCCCGGCATAGAACAGGCCACCCCTTCCTTTCCCGTGAGTGTCGTAAGAGGCGAACAAGGTGGACATGAGATGTGCAGCAGCGTCTTTCCTAAAACATCTTCACAAGCTTAACTGCGGTTGCCAATCCGCCTGCCAAGCGTGGCAACTACTGGAAAAACCCCCCAAGGGGGAGGCTTCATCAAGCGTTGGCAAGTGGAGAATCGACCCCAGTTTATTTTAAGTAATACACAGATAATAAATCAAAATCAGTTGCATGGTTTAGACATCAATGGAAATACAGACCTACACTGTCGATAATTAAGTTTATATGTTTTTTAAATTTATAAACTTATTTTATACTGACCTTCTTCAAGACCTCGGATGCAATTGGCACCATTGAATTGACAGGGTTCGTAATGATGGCCAGGATAGCTTTGGGCGCATTCTGTGCGATGGAGACGGCCAGGTCCCGAACGATAGACGCGTTCGTGTTGAACAAATCGTCACGTGTCATGCCAGGTTTGCGGGGCACGCCGGCCGGGATGACCACCACATCGGCATCTAAGGTCAGAAGCCATTGTTAAAACTAACTGTTGCAGTGATGATTACTCCATCAATTGTCTTACTGTATATAAAATTTAGGGCATCCCAGAAATTAAATTCTAACAGTATCATAATCTCATAATCAGAAAATAAAATAAAGGTTTTCATGACCCTAGAAAAATATCATCAAGAATAATATATTATTGCACTTGGTCACACTCAGTAAAACACAGCTTTCCCTTTTTATTTGTGATTCAAAGATTCCATCGTCTTGGATACTATCTATCTATCCTATTTAAGAGCTGCGCTCTTGTCGGTGGAGCTCTTGCCACTCACTACAATTTTCAGCGAGTCTCTTCACCTCTTGATACGACACAACACCAACTCCTTCCTTGATCTGTCTGATGTAACTATGTCTCTGTCTCCCTCTCCCCCTCCTTCCTTCTATCTTACCTTCTATTATAATGTTCATAAGTTCGTTGTGTCATATCAAGTGTCCCAACATTTTTCCCCTTCTGTCCTCAATAGTTCTAATAATTTGATTTTTTTCCTTAACCCTAAGCAGGACCTTCTCATCTTGGATACACATAATAAAATTCTGTAAACTATGCCATCTAGTAGTAACAATTGTATCCCTACTTTAACACTAGGTAGTGTTAACAAATATAAAAATATTTGTAACAAAATGACAGAGGGCAGAATTAATGAGAGAATATATCTAAAACGGATAAAAATTCGTGTTGAATGGTTTGATGTTGGGAAGATTGAAGAAAAAAAATTACAACAATCTCTTAGACAAATCCTCCATAAAATGATTGTAGAATAATTAAACTCTTATTCATAAAAATGTCAAAACTCTCAGAAACCTATTTTAGCTATTGAAACATTTCATTTCTTTCTTTTACACTAAATTCCCAATTTGAAAGAGAGCGACAAAATAATGTAATAGTTACAGCAGATTTGTAAGTTTCAGTTTTAATTAATAAGAGGATAAGAAAACAATGTGTAAAATTTTTTAAACCCTGGCCATTTATATTATATAGCTTTAAATAAAACTAATTAATATAAATGACTAGAGTTAAAATTATCAGAACAAGTCTCAAGTGATCACACAAAATTAATCACTTTGCCATAAACATTATAACATTTATTTGCCAATAACAAATAGTAACAGTACTTCACAGTTACAGAGGTGCAATTATTATCCAGTCAATTAGATATGTCATCTTTATAACTTTCATAACAGTATCAAGGTCATGGCTCATAAAAAAATAAGTACAACTGATGAGAAATTATATTTTAAGAGGAGAATCCCATACAAATAATGTGACCTTGACTACTATCTATAAATAATGTGACAGATAAGGAATGTCTTGATACATTACAAAATAATCTATAAAATACTATTATGTAATAATAATATTACAATTAAATCACGACCATAGAGCATAAATCGTATTTTTGATTTATTTTTTTTAATTTATTTTAATTACCTTTAATGGCAGCTGAGAGTTCTTCTGGACCCTTATGACCTGAGACCTTGGCTGGGGTGTTCATGTGAGAAAGGTCGACCGCAACACCTGGCGTGACCGGGGCAATATCATATAACGCCAGCCGGGTCACCAGGGGATTCTGTTTGAGTAGTAGGGCCAAAGGTTGACCGATACCGCCAGATGCGCCAGCGACAACCACTTTGAAATTCCTCTGAAATACACAAACTCTTAATAATAGAAAAAGCGCTACAATGTATGTTAAAGTATTTATTCAACGGTATTGCAGTTTAAGCTGTAATTTTAAGTCATTATAACCTTTTATCAGACGGTACAAGTAGGTAATTCGTACCTGGCATGATGTAGAGAAATTCTTAGTGCCATTCTGGGCGACCACAGTCGATACAGGCTTTAGGGTACGAGAAAACATTTTTAGGTATATTTTTGATACAACTCTTCAGTTATAAAGTAAAAAATATTTAAAAATTAGCCTGACCTACACGACCTTTCGATTCGAAATAATGAATGAATGATGTACATTGTACTTTACTGACAACACGTCTGAAATGATTTTAATGACGTACCGCTGTCATATATGTCAGTTACTGTTAAATGCAAATCAAAAATGCTTTATGACATTACTCTATAGTTAAATTCCCTTTATAGTAAAGATTTCTTAACTTTTATAGCCTCTATAAATGATGAATACTTAGATACATTGTAGCGTAACTACACTATTTAGAGCCCGCAGTAAATTTATCAGATAGGATTCATTCTTAGATTCCCCCATTCTTAGATTATGTAGTATATATGTATGTTATACTAAGCTTATGTTCACATTATACAAATGTCCTAAAAAATAATTTATATTTTGTGAGTCGATAAAATAAAAAATAAGATGTCTATAAACATTTTTGTAGTAATTATCGAAGTAAAGTATTTAGGAATTTACTTCTTAAAAATAATATTGTCTAAATCTATGCGTTCATGGCATTCATTTTCACATTACAACAATAAAATTTCCAATGACGGCTCGGCAAGTTGTCATAAGCTAAACAAATGTAAACTTTCTTTTGAGACACTTGTATAAATAAAAAAAAAAACAAAGAATTTTGGTGAATAAAACAGCCAAGTAGCATAATTTATCCTTCATCTTGATAGTTTATTTACATATTTCCCGAGTGTTCTTGAATTAATACTCTAAATCTTCAAGTGATTAAATTTTACAAATTTATGCAATAAATAAATATAAGATTCCATGCTCATGACTTTTCGGACCAAGGGATTTTTCAAGCCAAGGGCTCGTGGCATTTACTTGTTCTGTCATCTAACTGTAACACTATTACATAAAGTATGTATTAGATTAATTATTTATCTGAGGCGCTCATTTTTTTTTTATTATCCATTTATTGACATTTCCCATCTGTGCCTGCCTCTGTGGGCTAACTTCAATTTCAATCAATCAGTTGTCATTCCAGACAATTTATCTTTTTGAAGACTAGGCAGCATGGTCTCCGACCTTAGCCTGTTCCAAACGGAACAAACGTACTAAAAAAAAAAAAAATCAATCAGTTGTCATTCCATTGAAGTAAATGGGCATCGAATCCAGACAAATTATCTTTTTGAAGACTAGGCAGCATGGTCTCCGACCTTAGCCTGTTCCAAACGGAACAAACGTACTAAAAAAAAAAAAAAAAATCAGTTGTCATTCCATTGAAGTAAATGGTTTATATTCGATTGTTTATTATATTTTGTCTAATTTAAATAAATAATACAATTGATGCAATACTGTAGATATTTAAACGACGAAAGAATCTAAATATTCAAGATGAACGTTATACAGGCAGTGAAGATGTACATAACTAAAATGACGGAGGAGAGTGGTCCAGGAATGAAAGTCATACTTATGGATAAAGAAACAGTCGGTATCTCGTTTTTAAATTATATTTCTTTACACTTGCTTTAATTTATGTTTTCCCAGTTACTATTTTGTTATCATTTTTAACTTCTGTCTATCCGTCTTCCAGTATATTGAATATACAATATGTCTCTTCTGGATTTTACTACAATTTTTCTATTACAGTGATTATTAAATATTCACAAGATGTGAAGTGAGTGCGCCTATAATGTAAAACCTTTTTAGTAAAAGACATGTACATATCATTATCCAGTAAAAAATCTAATAAAGTGTTGTTAAAATTCTAAAAATTACTGTACTGAAATTGTAGTCTTTTTTGCAGTAAAAAAGACTAGTTTATGTCCAAAACTTTAACAATTTGTCAACAATAATTACCTCTGTGGCGCAGTGGCAGCCATGTTACATTGAATAGGTGAGATTCGAATTTTGCTTCTTGGTCAGGATACTTTAGAAAGCTTTTTAATTTACTCAGGTTTGGATGTTGTGAGTTGTACCCTCAGATGTATGTTACCTGGTCCTTCATAATATAGAAAATATGTATTTATTAATAATTTATTCTCTTTACAGACCAGCATTGTGAGTATGGTATTCAGCCAGTCTGAGATACTTCAGAAGGAAGTGTACCTGTTTGAAAGAATTGATAGCCATTCTAAATGGGATAATCTTAAGCACATGAAGTGTATTGCATTCCTGCGACCAACGTCTGAGAACATTGCTCTGTTATCCCGTGAACTTAGGTATCCTAAGTACGGAGTATACTTTATATGTGAGTACATATAATTATATTTACGTAAAAAGACTAGGCGTACTTCAGGTTTATCTATTATATAGTTAGCTGATTGAAAATGTATATATTTTCATATTGCTCCCTCTTGCCAACTTTTGACAAATTTGCCAAATAGACTTTATTGGTGCCAAGAGAAAGGAATAAAGATTATCCTATTTCTAAAATTGGAGACAAAAATGCTTTTTTTTTTTGAGAAAAGATTTTTTTCATCCTTCTGTATATATGTGTAGGGTTCAATTTAATCAACTGTATACACTTTTATTGTTGTATTAAATATATTTTAGTACTCAATGCCTATTTTTGTATAACATAAAAAATGTAACTATATTTTTTAATAATCCTTTGTGCCTAATTAAAAATAAAATAAGAATCAACATTGTTAGTAATATACCCATGAGGTTTCCCTTGGAAACTGTCATAATTAATTCTTATGGAAATCATTACAATGACTAATAAGACTAACTGACCTGTTTTCCTTTTTTTTTTATACCACTGAAGTGGCAAACAAGCATACGGTCCACCTGTTGGTAAGTGGTTACCGTAGCCTATGAACACCTGCAATACCAGAGGTATTACACATGCATTACCGAACCTGAAGAAACCTCTTTACTCCCCTTTTGAAGAACCCCATGCTGTAGTCTCTTGGGAAAACCTCGGCAGGGAGCTCATTCCATAACCTGAGTGTTCGTGGGAGGAAACATCTCTGAAACTGCTCAGTACGCGACCATTGAGGCTGTAGGACATGATAAATAACTCCCTGTCGATGGCGAACCTTATGATGGTAGAATGTGGCTGTGGACATCATATTAAACAATTCCTCTGAGCACAATCCTTCTAACCTACTATCACTGCGGGGAAAGGAATTGTTAATAATGGAGACTGAGAATCTCATTGCTAGCAATATACCCAACCAGGTCGACCTCCTCGCGGTTCTCCCTGGAAACTATCATGGTTAATTCCTGATGAATTCATCATGCTGGGCTAACTGGCCTGTTTTCATTCTCATCTATCACCCTTCACTGGTGCTCCGTCAGCATATCCCGTTAGCGCAGGCGGGGTAAAAAAAAACCTACTATCACTGGTGCCTGCCAGTGTATACTGATAGCTCAGGCACAGTTATAGTTCCATTCTCGTCCATTAAAAAAACTACCTATATTAATTGTTCCAAAAACATTCAAAATTAATTTATTTAATTACCAAAAATGTAAAAAAAGATAATATATTTCAGATTTCAGCAACGTGATTTCTAAAGCGGATGTGAAGACACTAGCAGAGTGTGATGAGCAGGAGGCAGTGAGAGAAGTGCAGGAAGTGTTTGCAGACTATCTCGCAGTGGATAGACATTTGTTTTCATTCAACATTACCGGCTGTTTGCGTGGTAAGTTTATCATACAACAATAACCCACTGTTGGGAGCAAGAGGGGGGGGGGGTTCTTAGTAATGGGGAGCTTCGACCATTTTTCTATCAGTATACTCAGCAGTGTCCCTCTTAAAACTAATCAAAGTCTAACTGCGGTTGCTTACTTGCTTGCCAAGCGTGACAACTACTGGCAAATTCCCCCTTTAAGGGGGGGAACCAATGTTTAGCAGTGGATAGTTAATGCTTAACTTTATCCACACCCATCATCATTCTCTGATAGATGTCAACACTGTCTATGCTATTGCACTATCGAAATGACCATTTAGTTGTTCCATCCCATTAAAATATTTATAGTCTTTTACCAGAGGGAGACTTTGTGCAAAAGTCGATTGCTTGAGTACCTCTGTCCCATTCGTAATTTACCGTGAAGCAGTTGTGTTTGCATGGCTGTGTTTCGGTTTGAAGGGTGGGATATGGCGTGAATTTACAGGGTACAGAGGAATAACATCTGAGTCCTCAGGAATTGCAACGCATGCGGGGTATCATGGGCGAAACAGTATACTCTGTTATGTCCATGGTATTGCTCATGTCTATAGACGACGGTTACCACTTTTCATCAGGTGGGCCGTTAGCTTGTTTGCCATTCTAAGTTGTATAAAAAAAGTCTGGATTTTCCATGCGCCAAGTTCCTTGTAGGGTAGGCAAAAATAACCGCAAACATGGAAACTGATGAATTGCGTGTCTATTTTAGAAGTAGGATAATTATCCAATTAAACCATTTCAAGATTAAGATAAAATATACATCTGTTTTTAAATTAGACCTTTTGGGACACAACTGTGCAAAACTGCATCCAATTTGGTGCAGTAATTTTTGCGTGATGCCAGAATAAACATACAGATAAATAAAATTTCTAAAAAAATATTGTTTTAAACACCTGTTGGTTTATTAAGACCTCTCTCATAAATTTTTCTTAAATATTTTTTTATACAACTTAGAATGGCAAACAAGCTGGCGGCCCACCTGATGGAAAATGGTAACCGTCGCCTATAGACATGAGCAGTACCATGGACATAACAGAGTATACTGTTTCGCCCATGATACCCCCATGCGTTGCCATTCCTGAGAACTCAGGTGTTATTCCTCTGTACCCAGTAAATTTACATCATGCATACATACATCGGTTTGAAGGGTGGGATATGGCCTGTAATGAATAAACTCAAAAAACTACTTTGCCGATTTCAAAAATTCTTTCACCATTAGAAAGCTATATTCACCCTGAGTAACATAGGCTATATTTATTGCCAGAAAAGATTGGAAATCCTTACTAAAACTTTAGTAACGTAACTCAAGGTGTAAAAAAATGCTATAAAATATCTTTCGTCACGCGCGCTGCGGAAACTATTGGTGATAGAACAAAAGTATGTTCTACAATATTGAAGAAAATATCAATAACTACAAAAAACTTCACGATACTATATGTCCAACTATTATCGTTATATCACAATAATCACTTTTTAAAATGTTGTAAAAATGTTCACCCGTGCGAAGCCGGGACGGGCTTCTAGTGTTTTTTTTTATACCACTACGGTGGCAAACAAGCATACGGCCCACCTGATAGTAAGCGGGTACCGTAGTCTATGAACGCCTGCAATATCAGAGGTATTACGCGCGCGTTGCCGACCCTGAAGAAACCTCTTTCTCTCGGAAAAACCTCGGCAGGGAGCTCATTCCATAACCTGAGTGTTCGTGGGAGGAAACATCTCTGAAACCGCGCTGTACGCGACCGTTTAGGCTGTAAGGTTTGAGGGTGAACTCGCTGTCGATGGCGAGCCGTACGATGGTAGAAAGTGGCCGCAGGCATCATATTGAATAGTTCCTCTGAGCACAATCCGTTGTACAAGCGGATATGTATGTATGCGTGTATGTCGGCTGGCCGCTAGGCCGCACGTGGGGCCAGCAGGAGCTGCAGCGCTGCGCTGCAGGCTTGGCTGGCGCAGTGCTGTCGCTGCGGCGGCGGCCGGCGCTGCGCTACGAGGCGGCGTCGGAGGCGTGCGCGCGCCTGGCCGAGCGCGTGCGCCAGCTGCTGCGGCGCGACGCCGCGCTGCTCGGCGCCGCCGGGGACCTGCCCGCGCCGCAGCTGCTCCTCGTCGACAGGAGGGACGACCCCGTCACTCCGCTGCTCAACCAGGTACACCCGCACGAGGAATTTTTTTGCTATGTTTGCCACAATTAGTCAATAATTTTGATCAGCTTGTCTTTTCGTCGAGTAAACTCATTTGAAAATAAAACATAAGTTAATAAGATTGTGTTATACTATAGTACATTACTGCAGCGGCCAGCAACTGAGGCATTTATGGACGAACGTGCAAATGTGGGCCGAGGCGTAGCCGAGGCACACATTAGATACACACAGATATGAGTTTACATAGTAATTTATCGGGCCGCAAAATTCGACAGATAGATTTTCATACAACTTTTGCCAGCCGCTGCCCGCATGTATCTGGCCAGTACGGCAAGTTTGATTTATCTCGAAGAAAATTGTCAAAATAATGCTTACATTTCTAAGCATGTTTGAGAAAAAAACATTTACTTCAATTGTGGCAAAACTTGTTATTTTGTCATATAAAGTAAACTACTAGACTGAAAGTGATAAAATTTTTACGGGACAAATTTGTAACTTTCAGAAAAAAAAAAGAATGTAACTTTAGACATAGAATGTTTAAATAAATACACATAATGTTTACAGAGATTGAAAAGAGTAACTGTTGAGTTTGTTGCGGGCTCTTCTCAACAGATATCAACTTTCCGAACCGTGCAATAAATTTAAAAAATAAATGACTATTTAAAAGTGCTTGTAAACAAATCTATTTAAATAAAGATAATTTAAATTTGAAAAATGTATTAAATGGGTTTACAATCGATAAAATTATACATACATACATATCTGTCACGCCTATCTCCCATTAGGGTAGGCAGAAACAATGGAACGCCAAATGCTTCGATTCAAACAAACCTCTTTCGCTTCCTCCACATTCATCAATCTTTTCATACATGCTTAATATTATAAGGTAACAAATATTAGTCTTATTCGATCTATATTAGTTGAACTCAAATCAGAAAAATTTTGAACAATTTTTTTTTTTCTGGGCATTTGTATGGAGACACTCTGTCTGTATAATCAAAAACTAGACCAATTAAATTATAGAATCGATCATTTAAATTAATTAATTAATTTAATTTCAAACTGTTTATAATTACTCCTTTCCATCCAAAGGTTGCCTGCAAGAGATCGCTCTTAGCGATAAGGCCGCCCATTGTTTTCTCATTGTGATTATTTCTTGTAATTTGTTTGTATCTATAATGAGTTTGCTTTTGTAATCTTTTGGAGGAAACAATAAAGAGTATCTATCTATCTCTGTAAATAATTGATACCCGTTAATAGTACTAGATAAAATTTTATCTAAAAAATCAGTTCAGCGTTACGATAGGGCTGATATACCTGAAGAAGATAAAAACCCTTATGAATTAAGAAAAAAAAGCAAATTTTTTATGGTATTAGTTTTTTATGGTATGAAAATTTAATGGTAATTTCACTTGCGCTGTCAATATGTCCTGGCCATGTATAAAACATAAAACATGCAACACGAAATCTAAAATATTTTTTTTAATGGAGGACAATAAAATGGTAACCCTGCCTGCGCTATCGGTATACACTGGTGGGCAACCAATGAATGATGATAGGTGAAGATGAAGCTGGTCAGTTGACCTGTCGTGATGAATTCGTCAGGAATGAACCACGAACGAATTTTTAGAGCAGACCGTGTAGAGGTCGACCTGACAGGGTATATTGCTAGCAGTGGTGCCTCTAGTTCCTATTACTAATAATCCCCTCCCCCTTTACAGTGGACGTACCAGGCCATGGTGCACGAGTTGCTTACAATCAACAACAACCGCGTGAGCCTGGCACACGTGCCCGACGTGCCTGCCGACTTCAAGGAGGTCGTACTCTCGTCTGAACAGGACGAGTTTTATGCTAAGGTAACATGCGAATGGAATATATATATATATATATATATATATATATATATATATATATATATATATATATATATATATATATATACATACATATATGTTACTGTAAAAGCCCATACATTGGTAAATCTGAGGATTTCATAAAAACAAGATCATTTTTGTATTTTTCACCAAACCAAACCTAACCTCACCTATCCTCAGAAGACTTCTGTAGGGGAGGCTTATATTCTAGCTATATATTATTCTGGAAAATTCTATGTACCTTTTTTTTATATACAATTTAGAATGGCAAACAAGCTGACGGCCCACCTGATGGAATGTGGTAACCGTCGCTTATAGATATGAGCAGTACCATGGACATAACAGAGTATACTGTTTCGCCCATGATACCCCCATGCGTAGCCATTCCTGAGGACTCAGGTGTTATTCCTCTGTACCCAGTAAATTCACCTGCGCAAAGCAGGCCGGATCACTAGTCATTGATAAAATAATATTACCTTCAACTTAAAACATAAAATATAATATATATAAACATAAAATAATGTGTAACAGTGGCGTCCTTTGATATTAAGTGTTTATTGGACGCCTACGTTGTACACGAAAGCCTATGACCTGGGGAACTAGACCTGGGGGACTAGTCTCCATCTGGTAAATTTTTACATTTAATTTTTCAGTGATTCATACATTATTTTGAAAAACTTCGCAGTTTAGACTGGTATTCGATTTTGGGATCCCAAGACGTAGTCAAGTGTTGTCCCACTGACTTATCACTGCTTGGTCATAGCGATGAGCCAACCAATTTATTTTCACAGAATCTGTACTCCAACTTTGGTGAGATCGGTCAGACAATGAAGTCGCTGATGGAGGAGTTCCAGAAGAAGGCCAAGAGTCACCAGAAGGTGGAGAGCATAGCCGACATGAAGAACTTTGTGGAAACCTATCCTCTGTTCAAAGTAAGATGGCAATTTTTTTTAAGAAGAAAGTTTTATAACATCTCACCGCCCATGGTCACTCGCAACACCAGAGGCATTGCAGGTGTGCTGCCGGCTGTTTAAAAAGGAATATGCTCTGTTTTCGAAGGTTACGAAGTCGTATCGATTCGGAAATACTGCTGCTGGATATCCAATTCCTCATCAAATTACAGCAGAAACATGTTGTTGAGGATCATTGGAATTATCCCAATAGATTATTATAAATAGATTATGATCAAGGTCTGATAAGGAAACAGGAAGGATAGATGAGGATTAGGAATAAAATCTATTGTTTTTATATATTTTTTTTCATGGTTGAGGGATAGGCAGCAACTAACTGTAGTTGCCAACCTGCCTGTCAAACGTGGCAGCTACTGGCAAAATCCCTCTTTTGGGAGAGGCCTATGTTTAGCAGTGAAGTTCTGAGATGATGATGATGAGATGTTCATAAACGGAGAACCTGTTCCTCAGAAAATGTCCGGCACGGTGACGAAGCATGTGACGGTGGTGGGCGAGCTGTCGTCCGCCGTGGGCGCGTACCACCTCCTCGAGGTCTCCGAGCTGGAGCAGGAGATCGCCTGCCAGAGCGACCACTCCAAACACTTGCAGGTACTATATATACATAGCCTAAAACCATTCAAGGAGATGTACTGTAATTTCCTAATATAATAAAACTACCTTTTACCCTCGGCTCCTTTTAAAGGGGGTAGGGATTGTTAGTAATGCGGACTGCCAGTCCCATTGCTAGCAATATGCCTTGTCGATCTCCACGTCGAAATCAGCGTGCTGAATTCCAGGTGCATTTACCCCGATGGGCTAACTGACCTGCCTTTTCATTCTCACCTATCATCCCTCACTGGTGCCTCGCCAGAGTATAACGTTAGTGTAGACGGGGTTACTATTCCATTATCATCCATTAAAAAACCCTTCTCAGGGGGGAGGTCTATGTTTGTGGACAGTTAACGGCTGATATGATGATGATGATGATGAACATACATTATATGTTATTTTCGAAAATTCTATCTATCCATTTGAAACTAAGTTAATTTTGATTTAATTTCTACTGAACAGCGTCTAAAGTCGTTGATCTCCAACGAGTCCATTCGCCACCACGACGCTGCGAAATTGGTGGCGTTGTACGCCCTGCGATACGAGAAGCACGCCAACAACGCGCTGCCAGCGCTGATGGAAGCCCTCAAGAACCGAGGGTGTCCGGAGCACCTAGTGAAGGCGGTGGTGAACGTGCTCGAGTATGGCGGGGCTCACGCCAGGCAGAGCGACCTGTTCGGGCTGCAGGACGCGGCCAAGATCACCAAGAGGCTGTTCAAAGTGAGTTACACATAATATATGCTTTTTTTATGTCTATATCTTTTTAATGGAAGAAAATGGAATGGTAACCCGATCTGCGCAATTGGTATACGCTGGCCAAGCACCAATGTGGGATGATAGGTGAGGAAGATGTAAAAGAGTTCGCCCATCTCGATGGATACATCGAAATTTAATCACGTTAGTTTTCATGGAGTTTCCATGAGGGTATATGACTAATAATGTTAAATCCTTTTACTCCCACACTTATTTATATGTTTGTGCACTAAAGTTTTTGTTTTGAATGTTTGATACTGAAATTATACGTACAGGAGGCATAGACAAACTTCATTGCTCAAAAATGGCGACTGTGTATTTCATATTGTCTATGGTGCTGTTCATATATTAGGAAGACAAAACTATACATTACATACATTTATATATGCTAGTAACATATAAATAAAGTGCAGTTTACTTTAATGTTTAGAAATGGTTATATTTGTCATTTATTTATGAACAGTGTTGAGCATTTTTGAAAATAATGTTTCAGGGTCTGAACGGCGTGGAGAATATATACACACAGCACACTCCGCTACTCAAAGACACGCTTGAAGACCTCATAAAGGGAAAACTAAGAGAGAACCTCTACCCGACCCTGGGTGGAGACGATATCGGCTACGGCAGGCGGCCACAGGACATCATCGTGTTTATAGTAGGTGGCGCCACCTACGAAGAGGCGCTGTGCGTTCACCAGATCAACCAAGCGTACCCTGGAGTCAGAGTGGTGCTTGGCGGGACCACGATCCACAATTCCACGTCGTTTCTTGAAGAAGTGAAAGCAGCGATGCAGGGTGTACATAGAACGCATACCAGACATATTAAAAATGTTTAAGTATTTATTGATTAGCAGTATTTAGTTATACGTTTATCCAGCGACGTCCAGTTTTGCGGTCATCTGGAAGAAAAAGCTAAGATGGCCTCCAAATGTTAGGAGGGCTTAATAGAGTGAGACGGTATTTCACACCAGGACGTCTCTTGCAATTGTATAAAGCTCAAGTCTGGCCATATATGGAATACTGTTCTCATTTGTTTTTTCAACTTAGAATGGCAAACAAGCTGACACCCCACCTGATGGAGTAGTACCATGAACATAACAGAGTGTACTGTTTCGCCCATGATACCCCCTATACGCTGCCATTCCTGAGGACTAAGGTGTTATTCCTCTGTACCCTGTAAATACACTTATGGGTGGGAGCGTCACAGTACCAGCTTCTTCCATTGGACCAAATTCAAAGTTTAACAGAAAAGCAAAAATCCTACATTTTTTAAAATTGTCCGCAAAAAGTATTACACTATGTCGAGTGACACTCGACAGTGGAGCTGGTGGAACAAAATCAATGTCGAGTGACACTCGACATTGGAGTGGAAAGGATTAAAATATTTGTTTCACAAATCGAAACCAAATATTACTTTTACCCTATCACAAAGTTGTCACATGGTTTTTCACTACATTTTGCCATGATCACGGCAAATGAAGAAAGAAGAAGAAAGAAATAATTTAATCAAAAGAAACATGCGGCCCACACAGTAGCGCACAAAACAAAACAAAAGAAATCAAAAACAAAACAAACAAAAGAAAATAATAATTATATACAAATAGATAGCAATTAAATTATAATGTACGCGTGCGCGCGTGTGTGTCGCAATGTTCTGTGATGTAGGTCCGTGCTCAGCATATTGCTGCAGCGCTGTTTTTCAGCAAGAACCATAGCGTCACAAGTAAAAAACAGTTATATAAGTAGTGCGTTGGTATTCTATACATATACAAATCTACATTATACACATACACGTACATACACAGTCACATACACATACATATATATATATATATATATATACATACACATACATACACATATATATACACATATACACATACATACACATTCACACACATATACAGAATAAAGAAAAATGAGATGGCAATATATAGTGTTCTATCACCTAACCTAGCCATACTATTACTGTTCAATCAGATCAGCGACGCGGGAGGCTGTGTTCATGCATTGAGTGCAAAAAAAAAACTCAATTTAACAATGAAATGAATGAATCATTCTTTCAGTTCTTATTCTATTCTCTACCTTCTCTGTTTTGCTATCTCTCTCTCTATATACATATTTTACCAGTACCAAAACTGTCCTAAAAATTACCCAAATTTATTTCACTTTTCTCCAAAAATTTTCTAACAATAAGAATTTCATTTTTCTAAAATATCGTCAATAGAAAAGCTTTTTAATTACAATTGCTAAAAACAATATCCATTCTGGCAACACTGGTGCTATATATCAACGTAAGGCCCTTTACACACGAGTCATGAACTCATCGCGTCGCAGACTTTGCAAAGCAACAGAAGCATCGTGTGTGAACGCACCGGTAACGTATGAGTTATGATGTACAATATAAAAAAAAAACCTTCCAACTTATGTTTGTCCAGTTTGTGTGTTACATTGTTCCACGTATTGTTAATAATTTAGATTCGCGTTTCATACGAAGTATCGCACAGTTCAATATGAAATATAAATTTAAAAAGTATTTTGTTAATAACCTGAAGTATTTCATTTCATGTAATGTTCAGAAAGGAGATTCAATTCGGTTGGTATTTGTGCTCGATACCTTTTACTCGCGGAGTAAAAGGTAACAGTAACATAAAATGCCATCGAATTTAGAACCTATTTCTTTTTTAAGTCGGTTGAACATTGAGTTTGCGCACAAGTATGATTATGCGAAATTTTTTTTAATGTCAAATGATTTTTCATCACTTTATGCATCACAGTTATTACATGCATAAAAAAAAAACCAAATGTTGAATTATGTTCAATAATGCATCACTGTAATATATTATTCATTTTCACTGTGATCTTTAAATGTAGTTTTTTTTTTATTATATAATTTTTAGCACTACCCTCAAATAAGTTATTATGTATTATTTAAGACATTCCTAATTTATGTAATAAACTTGTTAACCTATTCATTGTTTTATTCACATTTTCGATTTACAAAATATTGCATTCCATAGTTATAACTTTTACTTTGACAGCGATCAGTTAGTAGTTAACCGCAGTTAGGCTTTAGAGATGTTTTAAGAGGGACGCTGTTGCCCATTTCCGACCCCTTAGTCACCTTTTACGACACCAACAAGGGGGGGGGGGGGGTTTCTTTCGATGGATGAAAATGGTATGGTAACCCCGCCTGCGCTAACGGGATACGCTGGCGGAGCACCAGTGAAGGGTGATAGATGAGAATGAAAACAGGTTAGTTAGCCCATCATGAATTAATTCATCAGGAATTAACCATGATAGTTTCCAGGGGGAACCGCGAGGAGGTCGACCTGGTTGGGTATATTGCTAGCAATGGGATTCGCAGTCTCCATTACTAACAATCCCTTTCCCCCCAGGGGGGGGGGTTATATTAATGTATATAATGTGTGTACTGTTGATGTGCAGTTCAAATAAACAATTGCCTTTTAACCAGGAGAAAGCCTATTGGGTTAGACGCCTTGTTCCATTACAGGTCCAAGATAGGGCAATATAAAATAAAACACCCAACTGTTGTGTTCAAAACACATTTTTTTTTATCTTTTTTATTGAAAAATATTCGTCGACACAGATGTTACATGTCAATCAACAACGTAGTAATAAAACAATGCCGTTAAGTTTGGCACAAACCAGTTGTATCATCTCGCCTCAGTTTGCAAACTACTTCACAATACAATTGCTGCGAAGCGCATATACATTATCAAAACAATGATTTAGGCTCTGAATGATCAATTATACATTGTTCACGCTTATAAAAACCAATTACATTACTCTCATTCATATTCCTTCAGTCTTTACATAGTTGACGCTGTGGACGGCGCGTTGTCGCAGCGGCCGGCGCGTGCGCAGCGCGACAACGCCGTCACGTTGGTAACACTCGAACGCCCTTTGGCGACACATTTATAAGGCAATTTATAGAATCTTTTTATCTACACACTTCTCGTACGTTCCACGACAAATATTTACAGTAATTATTTAAACTCGTCCGCGCTGTGCACAGCTAATGCAGAGTTGGCTTGCCGTTTTCATGTTACACACAAGAAATACGCGTTACCTAAAATTTTACTGCGACATGTCGACGGGGAATTTACAATGTGGCAAACCTTCTTTGCTAGCGCAGTCGAGTGCGGTGCCAACTCGAGGTTTAAAGTTATGAAGCTGCACAATTCCAGAGATATATCATCTGCAGCCTTTTAAATACCGACATCTGAAGGTTGTGATTTTGTGAAATTATTATTAATACCGCAATATATATAGCATTCTCATTTTGAAACAATTCGTGATTTCGAATTTATTAAAAGTTCAAGGCACAAATAGTAGTAACCGCTGCAGTGATTGTTCACTTTCAATAAACAATATTTTAAATTATAGTGTCTCGACAATGGGACCCCATACGATATCATTTCGAATGCGGTGGTCGTGGTGCACACGACACCTACATATGTAATGTGCGTAAGCAATTGATATCATACACAATACACGTAAGGAGCAATATCGCCTGGCAGAAACGCTGCCAAGTCGTTTCACTGAACGCAATCAAATAACGTACAGGGGACATCCCGTAAAAAAAGTTAAACCACAACCGCGATAAATAGCAGGTCTAAGGAACTTACAAATGTAGTAGCTTACACGTATTAAAAAAAAAAAAAAAAAAGAGAACGGTCGCCACGTAACAATGACGAAAGGTGAAAACTAAGCCCCCCTACCACGATCACGAACAAAAGCGTCGCCTGCACCGCGACGCGGCAAATCATATCGATATACATAATTATAATAATATATATATGTTTTCATATTTATAAGGTGCTTAACAATCAACACACGCACATAGAATCTCAATCTTACCGTCCTAGCAACAAACATACGCGATGGACGCACTCACGCGATAATAAAATTTAAATGAAAACAAAAAAAAAAACAATATTCGCGGGGCCCGCCCCCCGCCGCCGCCTAGACGCGCGTGACGTGTCGCGTACGACGTGCGACGGGGCGCGGGTACAGTAGGCCCTTTCCAATTTTTTTTTTGTGATTTTTTGAATGTTAACATTTTCATACAATCGAAAATCTTTATACATCACAAATTATACACGAATATAAGCCGTTTTTGGGAAAGGACTCTAATAGATTTCCCTTTCTATTATATATCCTATACATATATACATATGTACAATTATCATATGTTTCATGGACCTTCATGAATGTTGTCCATCTCATAATTGTAAATATTACTATTTTACATCTAGTTTATATCTAAAATTCATATTTCCAGCGGGTAAATATGTTATTTGGATCGAGATTATAATACAAGTATTTTTTTTTTTAATTATTGGAGATGATTTGAATTGTCTGTGGACAGGGCAATCGGTAGCGCGATAAAACTACATCGGGTCGGTCTACCCCCCCCCTAGTTACAAATGCAAAGTATTGGCAGTGAGGCATTCTGCCGCGAGTGAGCGCTGTACGGCGCTCATTACGTTAGGTTTTGTTGTCCGTTTATCACGGTCATAGCTTCGACTGGTGAAAACCCCCGCGTATAATGAACTGACTGATGAATGTCCGATGGTTTAATTTTAAAAGCCAACACAGTTCGATGTTTAAAAAGTAAAATTTCCATTCGAATTTAGAATAGGATGTAATGTTTGAACATTGGTAATTTTACGGTTTTCGCAAAACGGACAACAACCTAGTAATGTAATGGGCCCCAGAGACGATCCCCGACCGTAATGTGAATAGAATAATGTCCACATTTGGCGTAACCCAGGGAGCACCGCGCGGAGGTCATGGACTGAGCTCCCCTTGATCCTACGTTGACAATATTATATTTAATAAAAAAAAAAATCTCCATTGAGCATTTGTATTTCTTAAATCGATTTTAATTACGGATAAACTTATGCCGATGCCACGATACAAATGAAAAAAAAAAAACAGTTGTGCAAAACAGTTTAACGCGTTAAAAAAGTATTATGTGACAATATTTGCCGCGAGCCTGGCTTGATTATCTCATCTCGACTTCAATCATTAGATATTGTCCACTCGCTTCTCAGGTTTGAGTCTTACGTCACATATCGACGAGACCTCGACCAGGTCCGTACACGATCCGGGATGTTGTATTTCAATCGGGGATTTGGAGAACGTGACCGCCGATTCCCCTACACCTAACCTATCGATTTATTGTCACTACACACGAAACGCTTACACCGGTCGTATTGCGATTACGTCGATCCGTCGAATTTGAAGACCTCCATAAAAACTCTTTGCGATTCACAACTAATTGAGAATTGAGGAACGTGGTCGATCGACCGTGTAACGCACGAACGATTGAACAAATCGTTCCAATGAAATTATATTATTCCTCTTTACCGAACACAAACGTAGTTCCATAGTATCGCGTAGTGCTAATTGACACTTCAACATTACGTAAAACTAACATAGCGCTAAATAAATACCAGGCAAAGTGCGAGCCGTGCTTCGTTCGGACGGCTCGCGCTTGCCTATAACGAGGGACGGGTGGGAGGCGGTGTTGCCATTGGCAATATACTGAGTTACCAATGTTATTTGTATTTACAATTAGTCAAGGCATTGTACAGTTTACTATTGTAAATAGATATACTCATAATTATAGGGCATACATGTGAATTACCAGTAATAGAAAATGTACATAAAAATAAATTATTCACTGTTTTCTCAAGTCGTTCATATTTTTAATACCACTTACTACTGTAAGGGCGTTTTCTTTATTATAGAATAAAATGTGGCGTGTTTTTATTATTTAAAAAATAAATAAAAAAACCAGAAATTTGCATGTACTTAACTATTAAAAATAAATAAATAAAAAAAAAAGTATTCTCATCGGTGAATAAAACACATTTATGCACTCTATAAAATCGTGTAACCAATCACGAAATAGGGAAGCACGACACTACTATAAAGGGTCAACCTATTTAGATAATATATTAAGCAACTATAATAGAATATATAAAAATATAGCAAATTTGAAACTAAACAATCCCAATGAAATGTTACAATGTAAACCGTACAAACCGACTGTAGCCCCGACTAGTACAAATCTACCATAAACTCCCACCAGTCTATTAAGAAATTTCTCTACCTATAGTACACGTCCGCCCGAGCCGCCGGGCCGCCTACCGATACGCATATCAAACAAAACTCGATCATTCCCGCCGTGCTAAGCCAACCGCTACCGTTTCTACCAATATGGGAGATTTCCTTACACTGGCAACACTGTAGTACACACATTTTGCTCAATGTTGCCAACATCAAAATGTAAATACTAGAGAAACGCGTACGAAAAATATTTTTATACACCAATTATTGCAGGATCAGTGTTGCCATATGCAAAAGGCAATAAATTATTACTTTCTGTTAAAATATTACATGTTTGTTATATAACATGTTCACAGTTTGTGCCAGTGCACTAAATAAAAGCGATGGAGTAACAATTATTATATAAATGATAGAGCTAATATTAACAAGTTAAAAATATACATAGATTACGACAGTGGAAAAAAACTGTAACAAGTTCAACTTTTGAATAGTCCATGTCGTACATTTATGACGATACAAAGTTTATTATAAATAGCTACGTTAAACTCAGACAAGACATTCGTAAACATTTACAGTTATAATCAAAACTATTATTCTAAATAGAAACAAAAAAAAAAAAAAAAAAACCAGCGTTTCAAATGAGTACAGTAATATTTCGTTGTATGTTAAAAAACAAGGAAATTAACAATGACAAGCGAACAAGAAGGATTTTATGATTTTCTCCTTTTAAAACAGCTGCCTTAGAATGTAGTAACTTTAAAATATATACCGACTAAGGATGTTCAATTAGGTCATTTGTACAATTACTAATTTGTATTTAATCTTTAAGATATTACAAAACCATAGAGTCACCAGTTTAAAAAAAAAAAAAAAAAGCTCATCGCTTAGAAAATTGATAAAATTAACAAGAGGTAAGTATTACTTATTGTTACATAAGTGATGATTATTTGGATAGAGAGTCAGTTTCTGTCTCTCTCCCCTGCCTGTCAAATTATTATAAAATGCAATGGCGCTCTACGCCTACAATCGATAATTTTTAAATAACATGCATTCAGAGATTTTGTTACAACGCTATTACAATTAGATTATATTATTGAAAGGTAATTTCATAATTGAAAAAAAAAATCAGATAATCCTGATATTGATAAGGATCAATTCTGAAGCGTCATTCTTCCTCTAACGAACATTGTCATTATTATATTAAAGTCATAATTTTAAGGACTAATATGGGTATATTTTTTTATACAACTTAGAATGGCAAACAAGCTGACGGCCCACCTGATGGAAAGTGGTAACCGTCGCCTATAGACATGAGCAGTACCATGGACATAACAGAGTATACCGTTTCGCCAATGATACCCCCCATGCGTTGTCATTCCTGAGGACTCAGGTGTTATTCCTCTGTACCCAGTAAATTAACGTCAATTCAATAAATTCACGGGTATATAAGTATGTAATAAGTAAGTCTTATAAACAAAAATTCCTTTTTTAAACGTATATATAGAGACTTCAGAATCGATCCAATTTTACAACAATAAGTATTAAAAAAAAAAACAGTTTAAAAATTAGAACAAATTCAAAATTGTGACAAATATACATAATTTTTTAATAAACAAAACTTATTACTAACCCTATCATTCTATATAAATCGCAATCAATTCCTGTTCACGTGTAAATATATATTACAAAAGATACACCACGCCATATTGTTGCCTGTTCCATAAAACAATAAATACGATGTTTAATGTAAAATTGACGTACAACTTAACCTATAGCATGTACGAATTTCATTGTCATTTAAAAACATGTATTCTAACATGTCCCTATAGGATATTTTTGGTAAACTTTAACTGTAGAATACAAGTTATGTATTTTGTTAAATGTTTTTGTTATTTTTGTTTAAACTTTTTTGCTGCTTTCCTTTATTAGTAATATTCACTGTAAAATGTATACTATATAATACAGTACAGCAATTGTTTTCTCTATCTCTCTCTCTCTTCTGTCTATCGCTGTGGGGTGTGTGTACATCTGTTTGTCTGTTGTTGTACCACTAAACATATTGTCTTTAACAACCACATTATTGGGATAGAATGATTTTGCTATAGGTTTACAAATATTGTATACTCAGTAATTTATAACTATTTATATTTAAATATACCAATATGTTCAGATTGGAATTAACATTCCATTTTGAACATTCCCACGCACGGTATGCACGTGTGAACGTGGCGCGTGCGGCCAACACATTCACATATAAAGAATATTAAAAATCTAATCAATAAGAAGGAGCTTGGCTCCTTTAGGATTTATTTCGTTGAAAATTTCACCTCGAGTACATAAGTATCAAATACAGACGTACACACAAATAGATGTCGCATACATGTTCATTTTAGCCGTGACCCATTCTTTTTTTTACTGTAATGTCATCTACATATATTTCTTGACAGGAAATCTTCCGTTCGAAAGATACAATAATTATTTACTGTATAAGTAACCAATGACGTTTTTGAAATCTTACTGTTTCTACATAATCTATTCTATATAAACATAGGTACTCTGATGTAAAATATAACCAGAGTCCATATATGCTCTGTTAAAGTTAAACCGACACGCAATTGTGTGACATTTTTTAATCCAATATCAAAACTTAGTTACAAATTTGTAATAAATGGTGTAGGTTCACAACCTATCTGTTGTGTAATTTTCAATCACACATTAATTGTCGATTTTTTATATTCAAGGTGTTCCCGTTGGAGGTTATAACTGTCACGCGGCGATGCGACATCTATTTCCATGTTGTCTGGCTGGGCGCGAGTGTATATTTACAGGTGAACAGTAGTGACGGTGGTGGCGGTGGTGGCGGCGGTGGCGTCGGCCTAGCACGGCGGGCGTGTGCGGCGGCGGCGCGCGTGTGGCGCGTGTGGCGGGTGTGGCGGGTGTGGCGGGCGTGGCGGGCGTGGCGGGTGTGGCGGGTGTGGCGGGCGCGGGCGTTACGGGTGCGCGGCGTGGTGCGCGGCCGGCGTGCTGGCGCCGCCCGCCGCCTGGTGCTGCGGCGGCAGCAGCACCTGCTGCGACCCGGACACATTACTCTTTATAAATCCTCCGTCCTTCAACAACTTCTCGCCTCGCTTAAGTCCTTATATTTAAGTTTATACTTGAAACAAAAGTAAAGGATTTTTAATAACTACTTTCTTCTTTCCTCAAAAAAATCTAATTTTAACTAACATTGAGTTAAAACAACTATAATGATATAAAACAACAATATATTTTAACAACACGGGTGAAATATGGCGCGAATTTACTAGGTACAGAGGAATAACACACGAGTCCTCAGGAATGGCAACGCATGGGGGGTATCATGGGCGAAACAGTATACTCTGTTATGTCCATGGTGCTGCTCATGTCTCTAGGCGACGGTTACCACTTTCCATTAGGTGGGCCGTCAGCTTGTTTGCCATTCTAAGTTGTATAAAAAGAAAGTATGCTAAGGTTTGCATTTGCTCACTATATAAGGTCTAGTTAGCGATTCTTACATTCAACTTCTACGATTACATTTCACTAATAACGGAACGTCTTCAATTAATCACGGTAACATCTCTACGCAGTGAATAACTGCTATTTTTCAGTTAATGCTACCTGTAGCATGAAAAAGGGAAATTTGACATGGTACATGCGAAATGTAGAGATGTATATTTCACATGTATCATGCCAAATTTCCTACATATTTATTCACATGCCCAAATAGGCGACGGTTACCACTTTCCATCAGGTGGGCGCTCAACTTGTTCGCCATTCTAAGTTGCAGTTTACAAAGTCCCGTGTAAAGTACGTACCTGTATGGGGTGGGGGTGGGGATGTGGATGTGGGTGGTGCGGCGGGCTGGCGGTGGGCGGCGCATGGTTGTGGTAGGCCACGTGGTGATGCAGGTGGTGGTGGGCGCCCGCGCCCGGGCCCATCAGTGGGCACAGCACCTGTGGAGGACACATTTCACAATCAAACACTTGACGGCCTCCGTGGCGCAGTACTCGGCACGTTGCTTTGCGTAAATGCGGTTCCGAGTTTGATTTTTTTTAACTTCGTAAAAGAAACTTATCTGCACTGGTTCAGGTTTACCTAAAGCTACCTTTTATCGCCATACCGTTGACCATCGACAGGGAATTCATTCTCACACCCTTGAGTTTAAATGATCCCGCACAGTGCGGAACAGTTGCAAAGGGATTTTCTCCTATGAACGCTCAGACTGTGGAATGAGCTCACTGCCAAGATTCTCCCTAGAGACTACAGTATGGGGTTTTTCAAAAAGAGTATGTTAAGGTTTCTTCAAGGTCGACAACGTGCGCGTGACACCCCTAGTGTTGCAGGTGTCCATAGGCTACAGTGACGGTTTATCATCAGACGGGTGGGATACTTGTTTGCCACCTTTGTGGTATAAAAACATCTGAATGTTCTAGGTTGTGCCACCAGATGCAAGTTGCCTGGTTTCCCATATAGCCTGATTCTGGTTGGGACTAGCAATATAATTTCAAATTTGTCAATATCAGTACGCCACTTGGTTATATTAGCCTGCATGTTTTGGGAAATACACGCTTACACTTCTTTCCTCACTTCCCCTTCTGTTCCCGAGGGTGTCGTAAGAGGCGATTAGGCAGCAGTGTACTTAAAACACCGAAATCTAACTGCGATTGCCATCCTACTTGCCAAGTGTGGCAACTACTGGCAAAACCCACTGTATTGAATCAGCCTATGTTCAGCAGTGGACAGTTAATGATGATAACGCTTACACTACACTAAGGACTGTAAACAACCCTAAGGACCTCAGAAAGGGCGTAATAAGGTTTTTTAAAAGTCGGCGAAGCGCGAGTAACATCCCTAGTGTTACAGGCGTCCATATGCTACGGTAACCTCGTTTACCACCACACAGGCCGTATGCTTGTTTGCTACCATAGTAGTGAAAAAAAAAAAAAAAACAAAATGTATATTATGTATGACCCGTCTATGTAAAGTGTTATGCAATAAGGAATTAGTATTGTTAAATAGTATAATTATATTAAATTACATAGACAATAAGTTGCCTCAAAAAAACCACAAGCGCTGGAAGTCGCTATTATTCAGGCATATTTTGATGTGCTAATGAAGTTTTAATATAAATGCGGAAAGATGGCGCTAAACAGTTTTTGCGTACCCGCTATTGTATTTTTTTTTTAATATATTGGAAGACTTAACATTGTAAGTTGATTTGATTAAAGCGTTTTGAGCTTGTCCTATATTATTATAGACTTCATTTAATGTTATTCATTTTTGACTCATTATTTTGATTTTTTTTTAAAGAGAGCGCCATCTAACGTTATCTATTTGAACAACTAAGTAGCAACGATAAATGATATTTTTCTAATATTCGTTTATACTAAAGATGCTTACTGTTAAACATTGTCCTAAATACCACGTTTTATTTTCATGCAGAGTTTTTTAACAGTCTATTTACAATAGTCAAAAAATGAAATTAATTGCTCTTATTGATAAAATTTTAAACATCTAATAAATTTACATCAGCTATTGATTTGTTTTATCTTTTTCTATAAATCTAATATATAAGAAAACATACTAGTAGTTAAAATAGGTTAGTAGGTTATAGTTTCTTTTTTAATGAATATGGTAAAGCTTTTATTATTAAAAATTACTTTTAATTTTAACAGAGACTATCCGTTTCCATTTCTAAACGCAAGTGTAATACTGACTAGACTTGTTTTTCTAATCTGTGGAGGAGGGCGAGGCGATGGGTGATGGCGCGTGGCGACGTACCTGGTAGGGGGGCTGCTGGTAGTGGTGGTGGGGGTGCGGGTGCGGGTGCGGGTGCTGGTGCGGGTGCGGGTGCGGCGTGTGCGCGGGCGACGGCGGCGGGTACAGCGCGGGCGACGCGGCCGCCGCCGGCGACGGCGCGGGCGGCGGCGCGTACCCCACGCCCGACACGCCCACGCCCACGCCCACCTCGCCACCCACGCCCACGCCCGACCCCACGCCGCCCACGCCACCAACGCCGCCCACGCCGCCCACCCCGCCGCCGTACATGCGCATCTGCGGCCAACCACGTGCACTTTTACGATGCGATCCACATTACAATACGAGTACGAATCTCAAAATAATTCTGAAGCCATGTATTCAATGAGTGAACAATTAATTAATTTCAAACAGTAGTCTATATGAGCTAAGGTAACGTACTAACGTTACGAATACTAATTCATATTTTTAAAAAACTATTAGTAACAAAAGTCAAAATAATTTAACCATGTAAAACTTTTATCGTTTATGTACAGCAATATTTTAATCAATCATCCAATTTAGCAACAATATTCACGGTGAATTTTTATCAAACAATAATAAATTTATTGTTATCAGAAAAAGAGAAAAAATATGTATTTTTAATGCAAAAGAAAAAAATATGAAAACTGTTTAAATAACAATGGTAATAATGACTCAAACTGTTAGATACTATAATTATGATAAATATAATTTAATAAATATTATTTTAAATAATGTACAGTCATGAATCATGAAATCAGTGAAATTGCAACATGCAATTAATTGATGACCGAAATGAATGAATGATTTCTCTATTTTATCTATGGTAACCTCTGATCTGAGATCTAATTGACATCCTGCTCTGATAATTCGGCTTTTGTACTAAACTGCTATGTATTATCTTTACATTTCTTTACTTTACACTTCGACTAATTTTAGGAAAGGGATTGTTAGTAATGTGAAGTTATTGCTCACTGCTAGCCATATATCCTGCTAGGTCAACTTCTACTTAGTCCCACCTAGAAACCCTTGAATTCACCACAATGGGCCAACTGACATGATTTCATCCTCATCTATTATCCCTCACTGGTGCTCCGCCAGCATATACCAACAATGCATTCTACTGCATCATTCTATTATTATCAATCAAAAAAAATCTCAACTAATTCGACTAAATTTAGCCTGAGCAGAGATTATATATTTTACTGCTTAAATAGACAGCTGTCCTATTAACATTATTAATTTGAAAATTTGTATTTTTTTTTAGATGATTGTTACTCATCACGCTTAAATGACTGAACGAATTTGAATAAAATTTTAACATACGGGTAGGTAACACGTAAGATATTTTATATACTAATTCATGAGAAAAAAGCCGCAGAAAACAGCTGTCTTCCTTATTCAAACAAATAATATAAAGAGAAAGATTTGATTTTTTATTTGTAACAGATAAATTTAATTTAATACTGAACCAATTTAAACTATTCTTTCACCTATTGAAAGCTACATTATCAGCGAACAAAATACTTTTTATAATAAAAAAAAAAAAGTTTTCTACCTTTATACAAATGTGAAGCCGAGGCACGTTAATAAAATATGAAATTTACACAAAAATTTTACATTAATATGAACGAGCAAGATTTATTGGAATTTTAGATACGGATCACATTTGACTTTTTCACTTGATAGTTCTAATAGTTAATAGTAGATGGCGCTATATTTAAGACACTGCTACAACAGTCATATAGAGTAAAAATACATGAAATAAACGAGCGAGTAAGCATTTTACAGGCACTATGCATTGCAGCGTTTGTTTTTTTTTTATGAATAAAATTTATTAGTACACAGTATTTTTAGCGCCATCTTTCCGTTGATAGACAAAACTTTATTATCACGTAAAGTTGTGCTCGAGCAAAATCTATTAGCATGCGTTTTTTGAGGCAACTTACTATTGTTAGCTTTTGCAACGCCATCTGGATCTCTTCCAGTTTTAGGAAGACACTATTTTATGTTGGACTTTAAAAGTCTATTTATGCAGTAAAATATGTAGTCTCTGGTACAAGTTTTTTAAACTCAAGAGGAAAGCTTTTAGTATTTATTTGTACCGAATAAACTTAAAAGATAATTGACCGATTTTAAAAATCCTTTAATCAACAGATAGCTACATTATCAGCGAGTTTGATTTGAAAAAAAAAAAGGCAGTTCGGTAATGGGTAGCGAGTACTCACCATGTGCTGGTACTGCAGAGCGGGCTGCGCGGCGTGGGCGGCGTGGGCGGCGTGCGCGGCGTGGGCGGCGTGGGCGGCGTGGGCGGCGTGCGGCGCGGGGTGCGGGTGCGGGTACGGCACGAACTGCTGCATGGGCGCCGGCGCCAGCAGCGGCTGCCCCGTCGCCGCCGCCACCTGCACGCCCGACCCCACGCCCACTGTTGGGGAGGGCAACCACACGTTTTCAATACAGGAAAATCGGTACATTCTCTCGACTAATTAAACATACGACTGCAGTATCAAATAATGAACTATTTCCAAAAAAAAATTAGGCAATAACTTTTTAAGATGATGTAAGAATTTTAAGGATCCCCTCACCCCATTAATCTAAATTTGTCACATGAAACCCAAAAACATTAATCTTGTTTTGTCAGTCGTGTAACAATAATCATATCAACTATTCTATCTAAATATTTAAATCTAAAGCCAAACTGCGGTTGCTAATTTACCTGCCAAGCGTGGCAACTACTGGCGGACAGATTGGCAGTTGCCAATCTGTAACCCTCCCAGGAGGAGGGTTATGTTTATGATAATGACGTAACAATAATAACCCTTTAAACAGGATTATGAGTAATGGGATTTATAAGCCTTTAAGCATGACTTCCACGCGGTCACCCTTGGAGACCATCGTTAATTCTAGTGAATTTATCAAGATGGGCCAACTAACCTGACTTTATCCCCACCTATCATCACTCACTCAGTGTACCCAGCGTAAATTGACAATACAAGCAGACTAATCATTCCTTTTTCATCCATTAAAAAAGCCTTACTAAATGATTCAATAAATCCTATGTGATACATAAATAATATAAATCGAGTCGCTAAATATAAATAACTCGATTGCATTTTTTTTTATATACAACTTAGAATGGCAAACAAGATGACGGCCCACCTGATGGTAAGTGGTAACCGTCGCCTATAGACATAAGCAGTACCGTGGACATAACAGAGTATACTGTTTCGCCCATGATACTCCCCCATGCGTTACCATTCCTGAGGACTCAAGTGTTATTCCTCTGTACTCAGTAAATTCACGCCATATCGCACCCTTCAAACCGAAAACTATGGGAGGAAACTTCTCTTCTATAGAATTACACTGTAAGCTACCATGAAATTTTGAATAGTGCCAGAGCACAAATAACGTCACTCTACTCACCCTTCCGGAAGTTCCTCTGCTGGCCGGGCTGCAGGGGGCCGTGCTGGCCCGCGCCCCCCGCCACGCCCGCGCCGCCCCCCATCGCCGCACCGTACGCGAGCTGCACACATAATAAAGACCTATTATTATCATAAAAAACACACTTTTTTAACAATTTATATACGATTATACACTTGTAAATTTATTAATTGCAAACTGTTATAGAATTATTATTAAAAAAAAAATCGCGAGTTAAAAATATTCTAACCTACATTTACATACAGGTGTTGCATTTGAATCTTCAATTTTATTCCATGCATTCAAAACTTTAACCATAATTAAAAAAAATGTAACACCAAGTCTGACCGGCGGTGAAGAAGTTATATTTTTTTATACTTAGCACATTTATTATATTTAGCGTGACAATTATGATATCAATTAGGGTGGTTGATCACTAAACAAAATTAAACAAGAAATACGAGATGGCGCTGTAATCGAGACTTTTGATTTTTGTCGATAATTTGAAGTAATTTTATAATTATGTATGAATTGTGAAGTAACAGGTGATACTTGATCTTTTCCTGAATGAAACCCAAGCAATTGTAATGTTTCTTGCCAGTATGTTTTTTTTTTTATTATAAAATATAAGGCAATAAAGACAAACATGACGATACATTATTACTATATCTTTTTTCTATTTAATTTAACTTACCCTCCAAAAATAAGCAAAATATTGTTTGGTATACAAATTGGGAATCTGTAATTGGCTAATGTGATGGTGTAAATATAATATTTTTAATTATTCTAATATAAGCTGTTGATTACAGATGTAATATTAAAATAAAACAATAAATATTTATCGGTAAAAAAGAAATTAAACCATTCGTCAATTAAGAAATTTTGCCTCAAATTATCTGTAATTACAAAATAATCAACAAAAATCACAAGTGTCGATTTCAACGCCATCTAGTATTTCTTGTTTAAATTTGTTTAGTGATCAATCAGGTTAACTGAGTATCTTTTTTTATCATACTTATTTATGCAATGTTATACTTACATACAGACATATAAAAAAAAAAAAAAACATACTAAGATAGTTTTCTAAATAAGCTAAGTATAAAGAAATATAAGTACTTTTAAGTCTCAATTTCGTATACAATTAAATCATTTTCAAAATGGATATCATAATATTATATATATACATATACATATATATATAAGTATGTATGTATATAAATACCAGACCCATTTTATTACATTGGATTGGAGTAACACACGTCTATTAGTGTAATACTAGTTTACACGTTTGGTACTCGACTGAGATCACAAGCATCTACAAACACTTATTCACGTTTACTTGTGTAAATTTGTACAGCCACTCTAAATGTAAAAGCTAAAATATACAGTAAAAAAAAAGAACACGAGTCGACAAACGATAACAAATTAATATGGAAAGGTGAACAATATTTATTATTAAATATTTCGTAAGCACACATTATATTTCAATGTAATTACTACCGGTTCAACTTACGTGTAATTAGGTCCACTAGTTTCGTGACCAATTCGGAACCCTCAATCATGAGCGGCTGTGACGCGAGGGTGAACGTTACACGTAAGTTATACCAGTACTTATTACATTAAAATATTATGTATTGTTATTTAAATTGTCATTATTAGCACTTGACGCGATTTCAATTGTTAATAATTGAAATCGCGTCGCCATAAACTCCGAAAGTGAATTTAAAATATGTGTCAATAACGCAAAAAATTAAAATTAAGTATTTATACTGTATTGTACACAAAAAATTACACTGTTATAATATATATAAAATAAAGATGTACAACAGGCGAGCTTAACTCTGTAAGAGTTCTCTTCCAGCAAACCCTGAGTGGAGAGGAGCATTAATTACCAGCGGACAGTGTGCGTACAATAATAGGAGGAAACAGTATAGTTTTCTTTTTTTTTTTAAATAATAAATATGCTTACCTAAATACAAAGTAACTTACATACTTACATACAAAATATATACATATACATACATAAACATAATAATTCCCTATTAATTTTAAATTTAGGAAATTATATATATATATATATATATATATATATATATATATATATATATATATATACACACACACATACATATCTTTCACATATGTACGAATAAAATAAATATGTGTGTGTGAGTGATCTATTATTATTGGGTTTGCTGGAAGAAAACTCTTTTAGATAAAAGCTCGCTGTTATGCACTATTATATTTAATTATTATCCTGATATTAATACCTTTTAATGTACAATAAATAATAAAACATGTACAAATTTACACAAACCAAGACAAACACTATGTCCACACACTTGTGCTTGTGGGTGCTTGCCGCTGTTTAGTTTACCAAGCGTGTAAATCCTAAATACGAGTACATAACAATTAGTTTATTACATATATGTAATTAAAAAAAAATTAAACCAATTGTGTTAATATCAAACAGTAAATTAAAAACCAGTGTTATATACTCACTAAAATTACATTAATTTATTAATTATGGCTCGTTTCATTATTTGATGATAAACTATTGGTATATTGATAAAATAGATAGGGTATTTAATGTTTCCATCTATATCAAAGATGTCACCGGATATCGTTTTATATATATGTTAATATCAGACATATAAAAAAACAAGCCTTAATTACTACTTAATTATTAATAATATATTAGAAAATTTAACACACATGATAGAGGGTCATTTTTTTATTGTTATGATTATATTGTTACGTTTCAAAAATGTCCCATTTAGTTAATTTAAAAATATTCTATTTATATATAATGTATTTAAAATATGCTCCATCTATTTACCCTAGTAATACAAATTAGTGTTACCATATACTGAAGAATAATAATACCCTATCGCCCTTATTCATAAAAACGTCATACGTAATTTTTTATGAATTCATCAATTTGGGCTACCTGACCTGCCTTGTCATCTTCACCTATCATCTCCCACTGGTGCCCCGCCAGTGTATACCGTTAGCGTAGGCGGGGTTACTATTTCATTCCATTTAATGGATCCATTAAAAAAAATCATACCTCTCCTCTATAAACCTATTTTAGATATTAAAGTGTTCTGTCCTTTTCTTTTGCGCTAACTTCTCAATTTGATAGACAGTAACAAAAGGTTTGTAGAACGTTATTTAGTTTTTATGAATAATGGGGTAAATATACCAGTGTCAGATTTAACAATTTTGTCGTTTCGGGCAAAAATCATATTTGCCGCCTTTTTTAACGGTCAGCGGTCGCGTGGATCTTGATCTCGACCTCGTAATGCTAATAATGGATCAAAACAATCCCCTCCCCCTACCGCCACATTAGAGTAGCCACTCAGCTGTGGAAACCCTCCGTATTCTCATCCTTGGATGGTGTCAATTCAAAAGTCATATTTGTCGAACGTCATTATTGTGAAGTCATGAAAATGTTTCGGTATTAAAAATATTTAACTTATTTATTTTACACTTTATTGCACTAAGTAAAAAGAAAAATAACAAATACAGTAAATATTAATGAGAAGTGATACAAAAGGCGGCCTTATCGCTAAGCAATCTCTTCCACACAACCTTTGGTTGGAGGACATTGAGAAAAAGACAAAGAGTAGGTGGCGCACTATTATATAAATATTTAATGTATAATATTTTACATCATTTTAGTTGTTAACTTTACACTGCTGAATGTAATGTCCCTTTAAATTAATATATCACCAAAGCTTAACTATGGTTACCAAGCTGCCTGCTAAACATGGCAACCACTAGCAGAACCTGACAAGGGGAGGCCTATGATCAGAGAGGACAGGTAACGACTGACATGACGATGAGGTCAATATTATCGTAGGACGATCTTTCAGTAGAGGACGGAGGGATTGCTAGTAATGGGAACTATTAGTCCCATTGCTAGCAATGTTTTTTTTTTGTTTTATACAACTAAGAATGGCAAACAAGCTGACGGCCCACCTGATGGAAAGTGGTAACCGTCGTCTATAAACATGAGCAGTACCGTGGACATAACAGAGTATACTGTTTCGCCCATGATACCCCCCATGCGTTGCCATTCCTGAGGACTCAGATGTTATTCCTCTGTACCCAGTAAATTCACGCCATATCTCACCCTTCAAACCGAAACACAGCCATGCTAGCACAGCTGCTTCACGGTTGAAACACGAATGAGACAGAGGTACTCAAGCAATCGATTTTTGTACAAAGTCTCCCTCTGGTAACCCTATCAGGTTGATTTTCTCACGACATCGGAATCGTCAAGACTAGACAACATACAAAAGACAACGCCTGTATAGACTTAGTACTTTTGCCTTTAAAATAAACAAAAAAAAAAGTTGCCATTATCACAGAAAAAAAAAACACACAAATAAGTTCTTTTTACGAAATTCAAACAGCCGTTTCCTTGGTACATGCTAAATCGAATATCTAAAGTTACAATAATTTATAAAATTATCAATAATTTTGACATTACGACCTTAATTATCACACTGTGAATAATTACGATTACTAATTGGCATTGCATTTATAATTAACAGCTAAGTCTTTGTCTGTCCATTATTATTTATTACAATGTTTGAGAATTATTAGAGATCTGATAGTATCGCACACTTCAGCAAAGTCTTTGTTCTCGAGAGAACCGAGAGAGAGATGAGAAAACGAGTTTTCTCATCATTGAGGGTCTTTTTTTTAATGGATGATAGATGAGGATGAATAGGGAGGTCAGTTAGCTCATCGTGATGAGTACACCTGGAATTCAGCACGATGGTTTCCAGGGGAGACCACGTGGAGGCCAACCTGGTAGGGTATATTGCTAGCAATGGGACTAGTCGTCCGCATTACTAACAATCCCTTCCTCCCCCCATCATTGAGGGTCGTGACTACATGAGAATGTTACTCTCGTCACCAGTGCTCTCCAAGTTGCGTTGCATTCAACCATTCGTAGTACAGGGGGGAAGGGATTGTTAGTAATGGGATCTAAATGCCGCATTGCTAGCAATACACCCTCCTATCAGGTCGACCTCTACGTGGACCCCCCTAGAAACAATCGTGGTTAATTCTAGTGCAATTCGTCACGCTGGACTAACTGACCTGCTTTCATCGTCACCTATCATCCCTCACTGGTGCATAAATCATCATAGTACAGAATAATAGTAAAGTCAACAGACACTCCACAGGCGTACTATCGGCCCTAAGATCATGTTTTAAATATAGTCGACTTATACAAAGTAAACCAAGGGTATTCGGCATAAATCCTACAGATACAAGTTAGTGCAAAGTCCACATACCGCTGCGGAGCACGCGGACACGTCCTCCTGTGATAGTCATGTAAAAACCGCTATCCGATAATAGCGAACGCCTTTTATCAATTGTCATTACATTATAAACACTGCTAAGATTAAAACGCAATGTTTGTTTAATTTCTGCCGTTCGAATATAATTCAAAAATGTGGTTCCTGTGGGTGCTAGTTACTTTGTTGTTGATAAAAGTGTTGAATAAACTGTCCAATGGAAAATGTTATTCTGATAATGTGATGTGTGGCCAAGTGGTGATAGTGACTGGAGCGAATAGCGGAATCGGGTACGCCACAGCTTTGGAACTGGCCAGACGGGGCGCCAGGGTGATAGCGGCGTGCCGAGACGACGTTAAAGGGAGGACAGCAGTGGAATCCATAATCAGAGCCACAAAAAACAAATCTGTCAAATACATACATCTAGATTTAAGCTCTTTGGCGTCTGTGAGAAAATTCGTCGAAATATTCAAGAGTACGGAGGCTAAATTGGACGTATTGATTAATAATGCAGGCGCCAGTGGTATGGGGAAGGAGAAAACAGCTGATGGCATCGTCAGGGATATGCAGGTGAACCACTTCGGTCCTTTCCTGCTGACTTTATTGCTGGTGCCTATTTTGAAAAAGTCCGCACCCAGCAGGGTAATTAATGTGTCCTCTGTTTTGCACAAGTTCGGTACCATAGAGAACATCAATGAGGAAGGCAGGTACGGGTACTTCCAGGTGTTTTGCAATAGTAAACTGTGTAATGTACTATTTAGCAACGAGTTGGCGAGGAGACTGGAAGGCACAGGGGTGGACGTGAACAGCTTGCATCCCGGGCAGGTGAACACTTGTCTGTACAAGTCGACTGCCTTCGAGAAACTGAGAAGTTTGATTTTGTACACTTTCTTCAAGAGTCCAGAGGAAGGCGCGCAGACTTCCCTGTATTTGGCTGTATCGGATGAATGTGACCAAGTGACGGGCAAGTACTTCGCGGACTGCGAGGAGAGCAACATGTCTTTGAAGGCGCAAGACGAGTTACTGGCAAAGAGGTTGTGGAAGATGTCAGAGGAATTAGTGAGGATAAAGCCGGAGGAGACCATCTGACTTGTTACATGTGATAATTGTTATCATTTTGTTGGGCGAGGTCGCTGACCAATCTCTTTGATAAGATAAATATATCTGTCAAAAACATTTATGTAACTAGATAGATAGAGTTTAATCCGGACTGTATTATTAATACCATTATCAAAATTATGATAATGATAATTCTTAAAAATAGGCAAATTAATATAGATATTAGGAATGAAAAACAAAGCAAACGGAACCGTATCAATAATATCTTAGAGTTGATTTTCCCGTCAACAAAACACATTGTGTTATGAAGCATTAAATTGTTATTGTAAGCTGCTACCTACCGGATGAAAGGTTAATAAAAATATATACCATACGTTTGAGTCTAGTATATTTTTAATCCCTCATTTTTCAACGTTACACGAATGCATTCAGCTAAAAAACTGCCCTCTATATTTTCACTCAGACACCCAGCGATTTATAAAAAAAAAAAAACGGGAATTAACAGGATCATTTAGGTAAACTATTATAGTTTATTTGAAATAGCGTTTTGAGCAGATGACACCGACCATAGACATTAATGTAACACTGCCATATTTCCGCTTTTGAGGCATAATTTTTTTACCTACTCATTGCCAAATAGTATAAAAAAAACATTATCTCGTTATAGTGTGCAGTCGATAAATAAAGACACGATCATTATTGTGTGTAAAAAACTGACACAATTTGTATGATGTACATTTTCTCTCATGTCAATTATTATTCGCGGTTTAATCAAGATAGCCGTACGCAAATAAACTTTTTAGTCCACAACAAGGAATTACATAGAAGGAATGCATAAAATAAAAACTGTAAATCATATGGTTGCCTCCTTTTTTCTTATGCAAATGTAATTAGTAAAAAGAGGACGAGAGATACACTATCAGTTGCTATTTTTCACAATTCATAGCAGGCTAGAGTGTATAGACAATGTTAGATATATCAAATGAATGAATGAATGAATGAGTATACTTTATTTGCATTATACAATATAGGAAATAAACAAGACAATTTACAAACATAACGATACAATTGTATAAGTACAGTAAGGCGGTCTTATTGCTGAGAGCAATCTTTTCAAGACAACCTTAAGGTAATGGACTAATTGTTGTACAAGTAGGTATAATAGTGCTTTATAATTAAAAAAAGCATCTTTTGCAAATTAAAAATATATAAAAATTATATACATATATACATACATATACACATACATATATATACATACACATACACACGCATACATATACATACACATACATATATACATACACACATACATATACCTATCAATCAAACAAAATTATATAATCCCATGCATATATGTCAAATATGTACCCAATACTAAGATACATATTAATAATTATAGGCACAAGGAAAACAAACTATCATAAAATAAATAATTATATAAATACATAAATAAAGAATGCCAATTTTTTAAATGAAGAAAAATCAAATAGAGAAAAGATAATCTTTCACTTGTCGTTTGAAAGAATCAATGGATTTTGTACTTCTAATAACAACAGGCAATGAATTCCATAACCTAATGCTAGAAACAGTGAAGGAATTGTGATAAAATTTAGTGGAATGAGAAGGTGTCATAAGGGAAAGGTTTTCGGAAGAACGTAATGTTAAAGTATGGGTAGAGGAGATGAATTTAAAACGTTCTTTAAGATAGGCAGGTGCACCAGGGTTAAAAAGAATATTATGTAACAAAGAGAGGGTATGTAAATCTCTTCGCCGGCGTATGGGAAGCCACTTAAGCTGAGAGCGATAGTGCGATACATGATCAAATTTGCGCAGACCAAAAACAAATCGTATGCAGAGGTTTTGAAGTATCATCAAATATTTGTTAATAACAAATTTTACATTACTAGATTATATATTCGACACAGTTTATGTAGAAAGTATGCAAGCAGGTTGTATCTGAATTTGGTAGGGTTATACGGCCGTTTAACATTTTCTATGCACTAGCCTGCTGTGAATTGACAATTTTATCACTCCTATGTAATTCCTTGTTCTTAGAGTCATAAAGTACACAAAAAAAAAAATACATTCTCACTTTCGACGACACGTTTCGTGGACATTTCATACTGATAATATTTGAATTTAGAACTCGACATCGCAACAAGCAGTTTTTTCTCCGAAAAACGACAGTTGATCGCGAATTTTATAACGAGCTTTCTTATCTGACACTGGTATTATTATATTCTTCTTTTTTTCGCATATTCGAGATCTGCATTTGAAAATCTTTCCTTTTCGAACCTATCAGTAAATATATATATTATATAACGCATTGGCTTCGTAAACTATGACATTGTTACCGCAACCTTTAATTACGTATTCAGACTTAAAACTGTATTTACATAGTGCAACGTATTGTAAAGGGCCGGTGCAGGCAAAGACATACCTCGGGGTATTTTTGACGCGATCTCTCTTCAATTCTGAAGGTGAATGAACTTCATGGGTTAAAATAGAATAGAAATAATTCCAAAGAATGACCTCCTCAGTCCCATATATAATAGTTTGTTATATATATATATATATATATATATATATATATATATATATATATATATATATATATATATATATATATATATATATATATATATATATATCACCACTACATTTTTATGAAGTGCCTGGGGTGTGTAAATGAATATACTAAAAGAAAGGTATTGTAATAGCAGATAGGTATAGTAGGTAAATGAATTAGTTTGCGAATGCAGTGGAACAAAAAAGGCTCATACTATATCTTTTTGATCCTTCAAGCCGGATAAAATGTGCTAATACAATAGCTTAATATTTTCCAAAAATTATATGCATTGCTCGTGTACTTCAAAAAAGTACCCAGAGACAAATTTTCTCTGCCTGCACTGACCTTAACTATACTGTTATTTTTAATTATAATAAACAATTATAAATGTAAACATTACAATAATGCAAATACAATCTTTTACAATTTTATTTAGTTTCCTAATACGCATATTATGTTAACAATACCCACTACAACTTATTATTTGCTAGAATACCGTAAGTATAAAAACCTTCCCTCCTAGACAAGTAGCAAATTATTCTATCGACAGCCCAGTCATAATTATGAGTTAAAATTATTTAAGATTTTGTTCAACAAAAATATCATCGACTTCAAATGTGGTAAAACCAGGGTTATTTCGATTTAAAAACTAAAAAACTGTTTAAAAACTAAACAACGATATAATTTCAATCTGAAAATATATATTTTTAATTCAAAAGAACTTTCCAAATCGGTTTATAAATGAAGTAGTCATGAGGTAAGAAAAGTAAAAAAATACATTCGAATTGAGACCCTTCTCTTTTTAAAATCAGTTGACGAAACAGTAACATTTAGCGTCTCGTTCTTTCTCATACATACGCTAACGATATCGTATTTATACGATAGATTCGTCTGCAACTTGTCTAGGGGGGTTTATGGGGTTATTGGGGGTCAAACGCACTCAAACACTGGCAAAAATCCCTTTGCACACAATATAGCACTGCTCGACTACAGCTTTAAACAGTGTAACATTGATGTCCGTTTAAATACGTCCAGACTTATTCAACGACTATATAATTCTATTATTGATTTTACAATTCAAGTAATAAGTTCAAACAGCTGCTATGACCACAATATTAACACGTAATGGTAAATGGTAACTGTAAAATATGGCTACAATTTTCCATCGTTATATCACTTTGTCTTGATACATTATGCGTTTTTAAGGAATACAGTGTAGTCTGTCATGTAAGAGGAGTAATTTATTAACTAACAGATGAAAATGCAAAATAGCATTGATTTAGGCCAGTCTTTCCCAAAGTGGACGATAACGCCCCCTTGTGGGCGCTGCAGGCCTAAAGGGTAAAAAAACGGTTATTTCAATATTACAGACAATCCAATTTTATTTATATGTATAGATGTAATTAGGACGTCAATGTTACACTATTTAAAGGTCTCGTACAATACCGCCATCGAAACAGAACGTCGTCAGCAGTGCTGTACTTACGAGTATTATTGCGGTCACAAGTGCGAGGTGAAACTAACTCAACAATGCACACGACAGGGTGACGACTAGCTTAGATCACGTGTGAAAACAGTTGGTTATAACATTATAAAAATTCGACATAAAAAATATATATATAGTAAATTTAGAAAAAAAAAGACAACGCGCTCGCTTGTCACCACCCTTAAAACCCGCTTCACACGTCGATCCATCTTGCACAAAGCGTCCTCTCTTTTACGGGAGCAACTAGCTTTTCTCGGGTAAGAAAGATAGGACGTCATGTTAAAGACAGGTGTGTGTATTAAATATGTTATAGAATTAATATCAAATAAAAGCTACACAATTGCTCGTCACCACCCTATAAACCTGCTCCACACGACACATCTATCTTTGGTTAATGAAAACTCTATCTTTACGGGGAGGCGTGCTCTCTTTTCTAGGTGGAAAGATAGGACGTCGTGTAAAACAGATAGGTGTGTGCTCACCGCGTCTGCGCGGTCACGTTTGTCGGACACGAGGAATAGCGGCTGCGCGTACTGACGGCAATCGCATCCCATCTCCATCTGCGCCCATGGCAATCGACAGTCGATCGCATCAGTAATAGTACAGCATATATATTTATATACACTTGATCCAAAAGTTTATAATTTCGTTATTAGTTCGTAAAGTACTTATTGCATATAAAAATACTTATTAAATCAAATATTACAACAATTTAATTCTAGGATATATAAAACAATTGTCTATGGATTCTGATGGTAAGTTTCTAGAAGTTACTGTTGGTTATGTGTCGATGTTGTTGTGTTTCTTACGTGTACTGAATGTCAGTAAACTCATTTCAAGTAAGAATTTAATATCTACAATCCCCTTACGTTCTTCATCAAATTCGGCATTGTTGTTTGAAAAAATTAAAAAAAAAGCTAATGCCACAAAAAGAAAAATAACTATTTATTATTTTAATATTTTGTAAAATAAATATAATAAGTAATATATAATATATAAGTAAAACTGACAAAACTAAAACTGTAAACATGTTTCTTAACATAGTAAATTTTTTTATAAGGTACCTTTTATAATCATAACACACTTGAAGTATGCAAACATCAAGTGATAAAGTTTAAATCATATATATATATATATATATATATATATAGTAACCCCTCTTTGCTAGGTTGTTATTATTATGTAATGCCTTTCGCAATTTTTTTTTATACAACTTAGAATGGCAAACAAGCTGACGGCCCACCTGATGGAAAATGGTAACCATCGCCTATAGACATGAGCAGTACCATGGACATAACAGAGTATACTGTTTCGCCCATGATACCCCCCATGCGTTGCCATTACTAAGGAATCAGGTGTTATTCCTCTGTACCCTGTAAATTCACGCCATATCCCACCCTTCAAACCGAAACACAGCCATGCAAACACAGCTGCTTCACGGTTGAAACACGAATGGGACAGAGGTAGCCAAACAAACGACTTTTGTACAAAGTCTCCCTCTTAAATCCAGCAGATCAGCGTTCGACGTAGTAACAGTATTAAGATCGTAACGGGAGTGTACTTTGTTCACCCGTACTCACACTATAGGGTGGGAGTAAGAGTGTACAAGTAAGTGAAATCTTATCCTTTTATAATACATATTATCAGTGAATTTCAAAATATTTTGTATTCTATATTGTTACAGTGTATCTAAATCAATTATAAACATTCAATCCAACCAATAGTGTGGATATAAATATAGTGTAATCAGGTGTGTAATGTTCACTCACACTAGAACACTTGTTCACTCACACTATACACTATGAGTACAGCGTGAGTACGAGTGTGGGTGTCGTGTGAGTACATGTGTGGTGTTGTGTGGTGTTGTGCGAGTACGTGTGTGTGTTGTGTGAGTTCAGGTGTTCTGGAGTGCAGTACTTACGGGGTGTGTGTGCTGTAGGTATGCGGGCGGCTGCTGCGCTGCCACCATCGCGTACGCCGGCATCGCAGTCACCTGCAGGGGGAGGTTAACGCATATAAATTCATTGAAATATCTTCATTACTGTAGGTCTATTATAGACTCTTAATTAATTCTATGGTTATTTTAGAAATTAAATGTAGCCAAGAAAAAATCAACAAAACCATGATGTTTTTAAATTAATATATTGAAATAAAATACTTAATATTTAGGTAAAATGATTGACTATTATATTTATAGAATGACTAAATTATAACAAAAAAAAAAGGTAAATATTTATTCATCAGGTAGATAAGTATTGTATAAGTACAAGATGATACACGGAGCTTGTAGGCTCTTGCAAATATTTTGGCCTTAGAAAGGCGAACTTCTAATTCAAATTTCGAAAGAAAACACTCCATCTAGATTTTACTAGTCCACGTCAGTATATATATATTCAGCCAGCAACTCACCATATGCGGTGGCGCGGGGTGCGGCGCGGGCACGTAGCTGACGCCGGTGCCCATGACGCCCACGCCGCCCAGCCCCACGCCCACGCCCACGCCACCCACGCCCATACCGCCTACGCCCACGCCGCCCACCGGCGTCGCCGGGGTGTGCGGGCTGCATAACATTAAAATATATAAATAATTCAATAATAAGGATGAAAGGAATTATTATTAATAGGGTCTGTCAACATCATTGCTAGTAATATCCATCAGTTCGTAGGCTACGGTAACCGCTTACCATCAGGTGGGCCGTTTGCTTGTTTGCCATCTCAGTGGTATGAAAAAGAAATATCAGATCAACTTCCACACGGTTGCTCCTAGCAACTATTACGGTTAATTCTTGTGGATTGTCAGTCAAGTAGTTTTTGAGTTTTAGAAAGACTAACGAATAAATTTTTATATATATACACAGATGGTTACCACTTTCTACCTTAAGGACCATGTAAAAACATGCTGCGCCGATTTCAGATAATTGGACAAAGACAAGGCAAATAATGCAATTATTAGATTTCGTCGAGGCTGTTTCGACGCCGAAGAAACGGCTGCTCACGTAATGTTGGAATGTGAAGCTGTGGCCCATCAACGTTTAGAAATCCTTGGAACGCTGAGGTCGCTCCGTGAGGCCTGTGAAGATCCCAGGAGGCTTCTGCGCTTCTGGGCGGAGCTAGGTTGGCTGTACTAGCCACGACTCATACGCACAACGGCCCAAAATAGAGGCTAAGCGCGGAAAATAGAGTCCTATTCACATTCACATTCATGCAAATTAGAGCAAAACGCTTACCGGCTGGGGTTCGGCGTACTGGGACTCCGCGGGGTGAACGGCTTGGCGGCGGGGTTGAACTCCTTCGCGTTGGGGTTCAGCGTGGACTTCTTGAGGGTGGCGCTGACGCCTGGCGACGCGGCGGCGGGCGGTGACGCCGACTCCGGCGACGCAGACGCCGAGCCCGAGCCTGAGCCTGAGCCCGAGCCCGACGCCGAGCCGGACGCTGAGCCTGATCGCTCCGATCCGGTCGCTTCGGGCGCTGCCGGCGTCGTCGGTACTGGCGGCTGGCAAGTACACGTTATAATTAATATATTATTTATTCATACCTAGTCATTGTTAAGATCAAGGAAGTAGTCGGTGTCGTGTCGTGTCAAGAGATGAAGAGACTCGCTGAAAATCGTAGTAAGTGGCAAGAGCTCCACCGACAAGAGCGCAGCTCTTAAATAGTATAGATAGATAGATAGTCATTGTTAGAGTAGATAGATAACCTCAATGGTAAAAATATTAAATCCTTTTTTATTATTGATATTCTATTGTAGTGCGCTTGTCTACCAATAAAACTTGAAGACCGATGTCTTTTTCCTGTCATAAATTATTTTATTAAGCTTTCTCCAACATGGTAGCAGAGCGTAGTTTTATTGTATAACTAGATAACAGTTATTGTATATATATATATATATCGTACTCATATACTGACAAACTGGAAATGCAGAGAGAGAGATAGAGAAAGAAAGAGAGAGAATGAGAGAAGAGAGAGAGCGAGAAAGAGAGAGCGAGAGAGAGAGAGAGAGAGAGAAGAGAGAGAGAGAGAGTGAGAGAGAGAGAGAGAGAGAAAAGAGAAGAGACAAATCAAATATTATTTTTTTTATATTTTACCACACAATAGTTGTGGTTTGTTTCTTGTGGTTGATTCTTACTGAATTAGCCACGATGGATTAACTGATCTGCCTCATTCTCATACATATAATTTCTCACTGGTGTCCCGCTAGCGTATATCGATAGCGCGGACGGGGTTAGGGGCACTAGGTAGTTTAAGGCTGGTAAAGTAATGTAAATTGGATTCTTTTTCTGCATTAAGCCTCTTATTTCAGCCCTAAATGTGGTAACGACTGCAATTTGTTTTTATACTACAAAGGTGGTAAACAAGTATATAGCCCGTCTGATTGTAAACAGTCACTGTAACCTATGGACGCCTACAACTCTAGGGATGTCACGTGTACATGGCCGATTTTGAAGAAATCATATACACCGTTTTTGAAGAGCTCCATAAAATAATGTCTTTTCACAAAATGATTTTGCTAGACACTGGTCTAAACAGATAGAGTAAATGGCAGTGCCAATGCACTCTCTCTGTTTAGCGTAACGGTTGATTGGTGAAAAATGCCATCAGGCACTAAATCCGCCTTGTAGACATATTTTAATGTGTGCAAAAGCATAAATAAATAAGTAAATGTGTACGGAAAACCACGGAAAGGAGTACATTTCACAAGTTGAGCATTGGCGAGAGAGAGTCTCTGAACCTGCACCACGAACACATACAGAAATGTTTTGGTCCGTGCTCGTCAGTACAGTCGACTAGTGTGCGTGTGTAGTGTGTAGTGTAGTGTGGTGTAGTGTGGTGTAGTGTAGTGTAGTGCGGCGCTCACAGTGCGCGTGCGCGCGGCGGGCGAGTGCGGACGCGGCGGCCGCTGCTTGTGCGGCTCGGACACGGCGCCCGCGTTGGCCGACACCTCCGGCGGGCTGCTGGCCGGCGGCGGCTGCAGCTGCCCATCACATTTCAAAATTTAATCATTTCACCACCTCACATTTTCAGTCTACTCCACAAAAGGTTTTCGATTCAATTGTACTTTTTTCATGTTTGTTACCTCCGGAACTCAGTTATGAACCGATTTCGACAATTCCTTTATTATAAAAATAAAATATTGCAGATTGGCCTTGTTAATTTTATCAAAATCGGTTCAGTAGTTTAGTTTTTAAATAAAAATTTTTGTGGTTTTGTCATAATTGAACTTGGTTTTTTGTGGAATACAACCTTATAGTAAAAATATAAAGTATCAAAACATAACATTATAGTCCTCAGAAATAGCAACACATACGGTATATCATAGACATGAACATTCTGTGATCCTCATCATGTGATCTCATCATCATCATCATCATGTGATGTGATGATGTGATCATGTCTATAGACAACAGTTGACACTTCCCATCAAGTGGACCGCCAGAGCTTGTTAGCAATCCCAAGTATCATTAACAATTGTGCATTTGATACGCTTAGGCCAGTGCTACATTACGTCTATGTCCGATCGCATATTATCGGGGACAACACGTCGATGCATTTTAAAAATTTTCATGTATAACGTTACTGTTTCACCATGTAACTTATTGACTTTTCCTATAATAATACATATAAACCCATTTTTCAATATTTACAACTTACTATTATTTACTTGTTCACTATCCAATTGGCTAAAATATCTTTTTATATTAAGATACATACTTTGTTTTAAAGCGGTCATTTAACCTGTTCATGATAGGATTAGGTATATATGAAATGTCGATAGATTTAGTGTTAAATCATGCCCACCGGCGTACAAGCGGTCCCCAAGTAAAACATGTCGTGTGCCCACCCGTGAGCACGCGGGTCAATAACGTTGTTGCGGAGTGACCCGCCGGTGGGCATGCGCTCTAGATGTTCCTGTCTCGTTTCATCCCAAGCATACGTTCAATTGAAATTCGCTATAACGTGTAGTGCAATTTACTTACCGGCGGCGGATTGGCCGGCGGCTGCTGGGGCGGCGCAGCGGTCGACACCAACTTGAAATCTTGTCCAAAACGGCGCAACTCCTGCAGTAAACATGCGTATTAAGTCATATACTCCATTTACAGTGAAAAAGGTATTTAAAAAATATAATTGTATAGTGGCCTACTCTATATATATATATATATATATATATATATATATATATATATATATATATATATATATATATATATATATATATATTATACAAGATAGAATAGAAACGTCGCGAGCGGTCCAAGATTGCAGAGCCCAAAACCCGGACAATTTAATAAGTTTTATCAAACATAGTCAGTTAAACGATTCGGTTCGCCGGTTGATCGCGGCGTGCGGGCACAATGCGCGTCGCGAGCGGTCCAAGATTTTAAATTACGCCCCGCCCGGACGCTCCCCGGATGCCCTCTAAACTAGGACAAATCCGGAGAAACCCGGACGGATGGCAGCCTTATATAACATACATGTGATCAAAAACGTTGCATTGAGACTATCAAATTTAAACAGTATTTTCCAAAATAATATATAGACCATGTAATCTTTTGATAATGTAGCTAGCTAATGATTCAAATATTTTTTAAACACCTTGCAAATCTTTCCTCTTTATAATATTAGTGTAGGATAAGGCTTAAATTTTTCCTTCTTTTTCAAACCAAGTTTATTTGGGAAAAGGCATAGTTTCTCCACTCAAATTTTAATCTGATTTTATATAATTTACAGATCAAGTATTGTTTTGTTTTTATTGTTATATTAACTATCCACTGTTGTACATAGACCTTCTTCATTAGGGGAGTTTTGGCAATAGTTGCCACGCTTGGTAGACAGGTTGGCAATCACAGTTAGACTTCAATAATTAGGAAGTTATAATTAATTTGTTTATCGATGTAAAATTACAACATAATAAAGAGAAAACAACTGATGAGATGTGCCTTGCTGTTGTTTTTAAACATACAAGTGCCATGACGGAAGCGATGTACCAAACATAAAAATCAATAAGAGAAATACTTTTGTGCCAGTCAGTGAATTAGTTTCATACAATTTTTCCAAGAATACTTGTAATTTCCTAATGTTTTCATCAACTATACAATGAGCGGGCCCCAAAATGTGTTTCCGCGAACAAGTGAAGCAGTGTGTATGTGTAGGGTTGCGTGTACTGGTTGGTCGGTCGGTCGGTCGGTCGGTTGGTCGGTCTGTCGGTTACCTGCACGTCGTCGGCGCGGCGCGGCTCGGGCGGCGCGTGGTGGCGACCGGCCGCGCCCGCCGCAGCGGCTGCACTGCTCGGGTTCTGCAACAACGCATGTTAATCTTTACAACTGGCAACACTCGGGAGGAAATTGTTAGTAATGGCGACTGAGAATTCCATTGCTAGCAATATACCCAACCAGGTCGACCTCCTCGCGATTCTCACTGGAAACTATCATGGTTAATTCCTGATGAATTCACCATGATGGGCTAACTGGCCTGTTTTCATTCTTATCTATCACCCTTCACTGGTGCTCCGCCAGCGTATCCCGTTAGCGCAGACGGAGTTACTATACAAAAAACTGGCAACACTCGTGGTATGGTACGTGGCAACACTACGCATTATCATTGGGAAAGTTTTTGATGGATCATGAAGGAATGGTAACCCCGCCTACGCTAACGGTATACGCTGGCGGGGCACCAGTGACGGATGATAGGAGAGGATGAAAAGGCAGGTCAGTTAGCCCATTCGCCAATAGCCAACAAAAATTCAAAAACTATTGTTTTGGCATGTACTAGTGTTAATTAAGACCTCACATATCAAGTTTTATTAAATACCTCCCGTGAACAGACACGATCAAGCTACAATATTGTGATATTGGCAGTATTGTACTCACGTGGTGGTGGTGCGGCGGAAAACTTTGCCTCGGGTGTGTCCCGTTGAGTTTGCCGGCGCTCGCGCCCGCGGCCGCCGCGACGGCTGCGCCCGCGCCGCTGGCCGCATTACTGCCGCCGCTGATAATGCAAAATATAATAAAATTCATAATTTTATACCTAAAAATAAACATTAGAATGACAAGTAACTAAAAATATATGTGATACACTCAAAGCTCTGTTTGTGATGGATTTAAATCTGCGACTGTTAATTGGTTGCCTCGCTCGTTGACAGTGTCGTTCAGGCGAGTGTTGACACACGACGTGTTATCATTGTGGCATTATGTTTAGCACTATACTTACCATATGATGGGGACAGTATGGTGGTCAGTTGATTAGAATTATTTTGTTTGATTCCACTACCAATATTTCAAGATTATTCAAAATTTACCAGAGGGAGACTTTGTACAAAAGTCGTTTGCTTGAGTACTTCTGTCCTATTCGTGTTTCAAGCGTAGAGCAGTTGTGTTTGCACGGCTGTGTTTCGGTTTGAAGGGTGGACTACGGCGTGAATTAACAGGGTACAGAGGAATAACACCTGAGTCCTCAGGAATGGCAACATATGGGGGGTATAAAGGGCGAAACAGTATACTCTGTTATGTCCATGGTACTGCTCATGTCTATAGGCGACGGTTACCGCTTTCCATCAGGTGGGCCGTCAGCTTGTTTGCCATTCTAAGTTGTATAAAAACAAAAGATTGACTACTATTATTATAAGAATTCCTATAATATTCAATATTATTACATTATCGAACGACCAATGCCTGGCTCTGAGCAGTGAATTTGATTGTTGACGCTACGTTTAAAGGTGAAACACGTGTTGCAACATGTGCGTAGCCTGAATAACGGTCGGAGATTGATGGCTAATGCGGAAGGTTCAATCAAATCAAACCAAATTTTTGTTGAGGCTTTAGTACACCGGTGTGACTATGCCAGCCTCATAGGGATTGTCAAGTCAGTCTGTCAGTCCGTCAGGGACACCTTTACCCATAGATTATAATTTCTTCTAGTAATAACAATAGCCAATCCTGAACTGTTGGCAGTCCCACACTCACAAAATAATAATAGAATTGAACTAAATAATTCTAATCAACTTAATACTGATATGGATTTCTACAAATACCATATGAGCCGTTAACTGTCCATTGGTGAACATAGGCCTCCACCATAAAGGAGGGTTTTTTGCCTGTAAATGCCACGATTGACAGGCGGCTTGACAACTGCAGTTAGATCTTGGTAATATTTTAAGTTCCCTTAGTCGCCTCTTACGACACGCACGGACATTTCCGTAGAGGAACTGCAAAATAATGAATGAATGTATATACCAATGTGGTTGCAAATATTTTTGTATGTATAATTAGAGAGTAGATCTGTTGTTTTTCTAAGAGTATAGTAGAGGGAAAAATATACCGACCTGTGCGGCTGGTGGTGGGCGTGCGCGGCGTGGGCGGCGTGTGCGGCGTGTGCGTGTGCGTGGGCGTGCGTGTGCGGCGCGTGCGGCGCGTGCGGCGCGTGGTGCGCGTGCGGGAAGGGCGCGTGGTAGCCGCCCGCCTGCGCCGCGTAGCTCTTGCCGCCTGCACCGCCTGCACCGCCTGCACCGCCTGCACCGCCTGCACTAGCCGCCGCTGCGCCCACCTGTATGCATCGCAAATGCATCAAATCATTATAGGTATTACTCCAGCATTGTAAACTTTATTTATCTCTGCATTTTTTTATATATTAACTTTAAAAATTACAATACATTTAATAAACAATAATTAAAAATTTAATAATACTGTTTTTAAAATAAAAAATGCATGTATATTATTCCGAAATAAAAACATGTACAAAAACCCTTAATTATTTCAAAGCAGAACCCCAAAAAATGCCTTTATTATTGTTTTATGCAGACAAACACTTATTAATAAATTAGATAGAGAATAATGGGATGTATCAGATCCACTATTATTATATTGGAGTTATTAGCCCCAAAGTCAGTAATATACTGCCACTAGGTAGACCTAGAGGGAACCGCACAGATGTAGACATCTGTGCGGATCCCTCCTCCTGGAAATCACCTTTAATTATTGTTATACACCTATCATCTTTCACTGGTGCTCTGTCAGCGTCTACCGATAGCACAGGCGGGGTTACCATTTCATCGCCCATTAGATCACTACGCGAATCTCGTACTACGCAATGAATAAATATATGATCATGTACATTAGGCCAACACTAGCAATCGTGTACAAAGAGCTCACCGCGTCGTCCTGGCGGCGGTCGGCGGGCGGCGTGAGATGCGGACGCGGCGGACGCGGCTGGTCCTTGTCCTTGGGCGGCGCGGCGGGCGAGGCGGCGTGCGAGGCGGCGTGCGAGGCGGCGTGCGAGGCGGCGTGCGAGGCGGCGGGCGGCGCGGCGGGCGGCGACGCGGCCGGCGCGGGCGCGGCCGGCGCGGGCGACACGGCGGCCGGCGGCGGCGCCGCGTACGGCTTGCTCGAGTTCGGCGACGAGCCGCCGTTGTTGCTCACTGGCTTCACCAGTTTCCCGCCCTGGAAACGGCCGCGTTTTTATTACAACCACTTACAACATGAGGTAAACATGCAGAGCGCCATCTAGTCTAGATTCTAGAAAACATTTAGAATCCCCAAACAAAACATATAGGTCCTAACTACTTAAGGAGTAAATTCCAGTATCTTTTTGAAACCCATAATCGTAACCTTCGTTCCAATAATACTCTCCAATTATCTTTCCCCTCTCACCGTACTGGTTACGCTTCAAACTCTTTTCTCCTACATTCTTCACGACTCTGGAACGCGCTTCCTGATGCCATTAAGAGACTACCGACTAAACCGTCTTTCAAAAAAAAAACGTTCACGCTCACTTTTTATCTTTATCCGAGCAGTAAGTGCTTTATATTATTCCCAAATTCGTGTATAATATAGTATATGTCATATATGTGTAAGTATATTTGTTATTTATATATATTTATTCGTTTATATATATAATTTTAGTATGTATGTATATCAATAATCAGTAGTACCGCATTATTCTGACACTTCCCTATGGTTGACTGGGAGAGAATGCTTTTAGCATTAAGTCCGCCGTGTACACATATATGTACTAATGAATAAATAAATAAGTAGATTGATTAATATATTATGTTTAAAAAACTGACTTCAAATGTGACGAAAGCAGTTCTTTTGATTTAAAAACTACTTCCACCGATTCTAATAAAAGTTCTATGAAAGTAATCTGTTTGTCCTTTCTTAAAAAAAATCGTCTATAGACTACAGTGAATATTTACCATCAAACAAGCTGGCTGTAGGCTTGATTGTTACTTGCTTGGTATAAAAAAAAAAGATGATTTGAGACGCTAACCCTTTTAAAGTAAGCTAAGCTATTTTATGGCCACCTAATTAATAGACGTTCCTTATTAATGAGCAAAGAACAATACCTGTATATTATTATTCTTTCTCTTATTAGGTATGACGTATTTCCCGGCGGCGGAAGCGCCATCTGGCGTCCGCAACACGGCCGCGAACGCTGCCTCCTCGTCGCCGTTCTCTGCCTCGATCCGATTCTTATACGAGGGAGTATTTTCTATTTCTGCAGCTATCTCTTCAGCCTTTGCTTCTGCGTCTCTGTATATAACAATTACATTAATATTAATTAAAAAATAAAAAGAAATTTACTAAGGAGCTTTTATTACAAAAACAAGTAAAAAGTAAAAAATAAGTCAGTAAATGTGGCTATGTAGTAAGCTGTTTCTTTTTACCACAAACAGAAACAGTAGATTCAAATGTCGCAAAATAAGTAATGCTACCAACACACAAGCAAACCTTATTGAATGTAAAAAAAACTGACATAATCGCTTCCTAATTGACCATGTATAAACGTTTCCTTTGTCTATGACAATAAAAAAAAATAAAACCGCCCAGAGTTGCCCCTTTATTTTGCTTTTCTGTAACTAATTATTTATTTTGTTTGTGTACATATTTGTGTTATTCTTTATAATCTGTAACAAACTCTGAAGGGAACAACAAAGAGTTTTCATTGATTCATTCAAAGACAACTTTGAATCTCATTGTGGACTCAAAAACTACTTTGTGGGAATTGTTTAACATTAAAACCAATTTAAACAAAGATTATTTTTTTATGGCAAGTAGGAATATTAAATAAGCTGATGACTCACCTATAGTCATGAACTTGTACGAACATGAACGGCAGCATAGGCATCACAGAATACACCGTGACACCCATGGGTTACTATTTCTGAAGACTAACGTGTTACCTCTCTATACCCTGTAGTTCCACTGCGATATATTATTCTTCAAACAGGAACTAGAACTTGTCATGGGTCGTCTTATCTAAGGACTATGGTGTTATGCGTCCGTAGCTTATAATTCCACTGCTATATCCCACTCTACAACTACCTTACTCTTGGCGTGTGGTTTCGGCTTAAAATGGGAAACCCCTTCCATTCTCGTGGGGGTTGTAAGGGTCAATTAAGGAAACTCAATGATTGAGGGATGGGCAACAGTATCCTTCTTAAAATATTCCCAAACCCTAAATGCAGTTGCCAACACGCCTACCAAGTGGAAGCTGCTTTTAGGCTTTGGCGATACTGTCAAAACCTCTCAAGGGAGAAGCCTACGCTCAGCAGTGGATAGGTAACAGCTGATATGATAATCCAACCCTGCAAATGAGAACCGGATCTTGACAAGGGTCGCTATTACTGAAGACTATGGGGGGAAAGGGATTGTTAGTAATGGAGACTAAGAATTCCATTGCTAGCAATATACCCAACCAGGTCGATTCCCCCTGGAAACTATCATGGTCAATTTCTAATGAATTCATCATGATAGGCTAATGGGCCTGTTTTTATTCTCATCTATCACCCTTCACTGGTGCTCCGCCAGCATATCTCGTTAGCGCAGGCGGGGTTACCATACCATTTCCACCCATCAAAAAAAAAATAATTCCTGAATACTATGGTGTTATGCCTTTGTACCCTGTAATCCCACTACCATATTCCTTGCCCACTACCCTTCAAACACAGGAGCTTCACTGCGGGGGAAATGGATTGTTATTAACAGCATCTAACGGGCCTATTTTGCTAGAAAGGTCGACGTTCACGTGGTCAATGTGTGGAAACAATGGTTTCCAGTGGGAACTACTGGAAACCATGGTCATTAATTATATTTCTCACCTATCATCATCTCTCATTGGGTTCTCGCTAGGCTATATCAATAGCGTAAATGGGGTTACAATTTCATCCTGAAGCAAAGCTGCTTCGCTGCAGAAGCACGAGAAAGCCATTGACCAGCTCACCTATAGTCTTGGGTATCCTTTTTCTGCAACTGTACGGTATACCCGGCCAGCGAGTGGTCGTACGTGCTGTGGACGCCGTACACTTCCTCGTTCTTTCTGAACATGTCGTTCGCGTCCCAGCCGTTGGCGCGGTGGTCCAGCTCGAGGTCCTCGAGGCGAGCGTCGCCGTTGAGGGACGGCGAGTCGCCGCCGTCGCCGTCGCAGCCGTCCCACGGCTCCAGCTGCCGTTCCTCGGCAGAGCGCCCGTTGCCTACACCCGTCAAATGGTTAGTTACAATAAAAAAGAATATTAGGTAGGGACTTAAAAATAATGAAGTCTCATTATAAAGTCACAATGGGCACTATGAAAATATATATATATAATTCCGCCCGTTGGTAATTAATGCTCCTTTCCACTCAGGGTTTGTTGTAAGAGAACTTTTACAGAGTTAAGCCCGCCTGTTGTATATTTTTATTTTATATAAATTATAATAATACAATTTTTGTGTACAATATAATATAAATAAATTAATATTTCTCGAGTTTTATTAGTCACTAGTAGTTCCATGCAGTTTTCTAAAAGCATTAAGGTGTTATAATTTTAATTTTTTGTTTTTAATTAATGTGTTTATATATCAAATTTCATTCAAATCCATTCAGTCTAAAAGAGACTGAATGGATTTGACCAGAGCGATTCTTTGTCCAAAAGTCGATTGCTTGGGTACCTCTGTCCCATTCGTGTTTCTACCGTGAAGCAGTTGTGTTTGCATGGCTGTGTTTCGGTTTGAAGGGTGGGATATAGCGTGAATTTACTGGGTACAGAGGAATAACACCTGAGTCCTCAGGAATGGCAACGCATGGGGGTATCATGGGCGAAACAGTATACGCTGTTATGTCCATGGTACTGCTCATGTCTATAGGCGACGGTTACCACTTTCCATCAGGTGGGCCGTCAGCTTGTTTGCCATTCTAAGTTGTATAAAAAAATATATAAATAGTAAGCGTGTACCGAATTCCATAAAGATTAATTAAGTCGTTAAGGCGCTATAAGTCAACAAAAAAAAAAAACAAAAAAACAATTTTACTTTTATAATATCATTAAAATTTATTCCTATAATTCGCTATCTTCTTTTTATTTTCTACACAGTTCACTCGCCGTGTGTCCCGGCATAGAATGAGCCACCCATTCCTTTCCCGTGGGTGTCGTAACAGGCGACTGAGGGAGGGCAAGGGATGGACAGCAGTGTTCCTCTTAAAACATCTCTGAAAGCCTAACAGCGGTTGCTAACCCGCCTGCTGCGAGTGGCAACTACCGGCAACACTCTCCTTATGGGAAAGGATTATGTCCAGCAGTGGGTAGTTAACGCTTGAAATACTATACTAATATAAGTTACTACAATAAAGAGACTTATAATTTTGTTATTGCTTGTTCAGTTAGCACAGTATAGTGTCATCTACTTCACACAGTGACTATTTCAAATATTTCTTGATAAAGTTCACAATTGTTATCACCAGATGAGTCAACGTGTACAGTTGGATTCTTAGAATTTTAGCCTGTTAATTAATTTAAATTGTACATTTTTATTTTATTTTAAAGGGAAACATACAATACCTAAAACATATAAATAGTAAACACAGCCATAACATAAATTTGTGAAGTTTCCACAATAAACTAATCAAATAAACGAGAGCAGAAAATTAATATAAAAAGACATATATGGTACATGATAATAAAAAAAAAAACAAAATAAACATAACAATTAACAATTTAAAAATGTTTATTTCCTCTCTAATCAAAATGGACTTTGCCCGAAGTTCCTCTCTAACGTGTTTTTACATAAGTTTAGATCATCTCCGAATACGTCTAAAGAGAGGAACTGCTGATTATAATAAAAAAAAAATAAATAAAAAAAAACTCTTCGATATGACGCCTACAGCCACACCATCGGCAAGGAATCTATCCTCACACCTTAGAACCAGACTGATCACACCCAGAACAGTGCGGCTTCAGTGGAGCTTCCTCCCGCGAACACTCGGGTTGGACACTCAGGACTTTCTCTAAAGACTACAACAGCATGGGTTTCTTCAAAGAGCGTATTAAGGTTTATTAAGGGTGATGAACGCGCGTGACATCCCTGGTGTTATAGGCGTCTACAGGCTACGGTGAGCCCGTTTATCATCAGATGGGCCGTATGCTTGTTTGCCACCATAGTAGTATAAACAAAACCATGTAAGACTGTAAAGATATTTTTAGAGGTGTGTATGAAATATGGTACACTGATAAATCATGACATAATTTATAAGTGAGAAAACCTGCAGGATACAGCTAGTTCTAGAAATGATGGACTAGCTGTATTCCATGGCTTGGTTTGCGTGAATGAGTACATGAAGCATCATGTGTGCTATGTCAGGATATAAAACTACTCCTGTACAAAATATCATTCGAATACGATATAATAGGGGGAAAAGGGATTGGTAGTAATGGAGTTTGACAGCTCCATTGCTAGCAATATGCCTTATTAGGTCGACATCCACGTGGTTCCCCCTGGAAACCATCGTGAACAATTCTTGTTGAATTCGTCACGATGGGCTAACTGACCTACTTCATCCTCACCTATCATCCTTCACTGGTGCCCCGCCGGTGTATACCGATGGCGCGTGTGGAGTTACCATTCCATTATCATCCATTAAAAAAAAAATACGATATAATACAAGGTACCGGCAGAAAGTCAGCGTCCTTCGAAGGGTCCTTCGCAGCTTAATGCTGAGTTGGTTGCCTTTTCACCGTAGAGACATAAAAACACCAACCAATTTTTTGTTTCGCTTATAAATTCATGAATTTACATGCTTGTAATGGTGAATAAATAATTTATCTATCTATCAAATCAGTTTAGTAGTTTTTGACTAAAAAAGTAACAAACATGCATCCATTTTTAACGGTATGATAATCATGATGAGCATCACAATGTATTTTGTAATGCCCATGGTCTATAGGCGACGGTTACTACATTCCATCAGGAGACCCATCAGCTAGCTAGCTATTCTAAGTATCATAGAAAAGGGGTCTCACCATTAAATTTACTGGATATCGCACTATCAGTCTGAAACACATCGTGCGTGGCGTACTCCAGGTCCGAATCCTTCGCCCGGATGGAGACCACGTCTTGGGGTTTGAAGATCAATTTATCGACTACCGAATCCACTGGCACCACGCCGTCTTGATCCACGCGGTGAGCCATCTCTAACACCACCTGGAGGCAAAGATATCAAACTTCTTTATAATAACATTTTTTATTTTCTGTAATAGAACGAAAAATGAGCGCACAGTTCTCGTGACGGCATGCATTTGCCATAATATGGATCAAGTCATTAAATGACATTTTAAAGACATCATTAGAATAATTATTATTACGCAAATGAAACATTTTTAGTTCTGGTTCGTTACTGGTTTGTCACTGGTTCTTTTAATAATTTGGCTATATCAATTTGCAATTAGTAAATTGCCTATATAATCTAATTAATGCCTTTAATAATTATTTATTAATGTTTATGAAATTGTTACTCGGCTGTGCTATTTGGATTACTTATCCATTTATAGGATCATCCTACAGGATTAGGATACAGCGAAGCATTGCAATACAATACACTAGTGGATTAGGTCTAACTGTTCTTACATTTAGAGGCAACCACAGCATATTTCGTTTTTGTGAAACATTATTAATGGAATTAAATTAGTACATGTAATAAAAGAATAAATAAATTCACCGTGTAGTCCCAGTACAGAATGGACCAATCCATTCTTTCCTATGGATGTCATAAGAGGTGACAAAAGGAAGTTAATGGTAGAAGGTTGGGCGGCAGCGTCGCTCGTCAATTATCACCAAAGTCTAAACGCGATTGCCAAACCGCTTGCCAAGGGTGATAATTATTGGCAAAACCCCCTAATAAGGAGAGACCTATGTTCAGCAGTAGACTATAAACGTCAATATGATGATGATGATGATTAAATGAATAAAGTAGTATAGTTTAAAAATAAAATTAACAACTGCTGAAAATTAATATTAAAATATTACAAATTAATTCAAGTTATAAATGATATATAATGGCGATGTACATCAAGTTTTTAATTTGGACATAAACATAGAGTGACTGTCATAGTGAATATCAAGTTTAGGCTTGGTTTTTACAATACCAATATATGATTACCGTGGCCGGGTAACAGTGGTGAATAATAGGCAAGGATAAAAGTCGAGTTAGTTCATGGTGAAGGATTCACTGTGAAATAATGACGATAGTTTCCAAAATAACTGCGTGTAGGTTACCTGACCACCACTAGCAAACCCTTTCCATTTAAAGTTTCAATAGAATAGTAAGCAGAAAAAAAAATTACAATAAATAGATAACATTGAGAAAACAATGGGCGACCTTTGGATGGACAGAAGCAATTGTGAACACTTTGGTCAGAGGCATGATACAGTTAATGATGTACATACATAAATAAACATATTTACTATCTCATACATATATAAAACAGATATCTAAGAATGAGAAGTTAAACTAGAGACGTATTACAAATACAACAACTTGTTCGCATAAAAGTTTTCTTTTGTTTTAAAACTTGGCAGACATAGATTTATTTTCTTATTTTCAGGGGAGGCAATAGGCAAACGAACTTCAGTTGAAGGTCAGAACGAAAGTCCAATTGATGGGAAGTATTTTTTAATGGAAGATAATGGAAGGGTAATCCTATCTCACCTGGACTATCGGTTTACGATGGTGGAGCACCGTGAAGAATAATAAGGGTGAAAGCAGATCAAGGTGGTCCTCCACGAGGTTTCTCTTGGAAATCATCGTGATTGGTTTATTATTGAATTCGTCACGATGGGGTAACTGACCAGTCTTTTCATCCTCACCTATCACCCCTCACTGGCACCCCGCCAGCGTATACCGTTAGCGGAAGCAGGGTCACAAAAACAAATCCTATTCCACCTGGGCTATCGGTATACGGTGGCGGGATACCGTGAGATGTGATAAGAATGAAAGCAGGTCAAGGTGGCGCATAATGACGAAGTCAAATGGAATTAACAATGTTTCCAGAAGCGATACAGTGCAACACAATCTGATAATATACCCTACCCTATTGTTAGCGATAAAACGGGACCAACTTCTAATTCTCGATTACTAAAAGAACTATGATTAGTACCCTCCCCCCCCCCCCCCTCTCCCACCATTCTGGATCATTTACACACCCACATTTGGATCATTTAAAAAAAATACTACCACTCTCTTCGCGAATTGGAGGGCAAGTCAATCCGTCGTCCTGCAATCCACGTCTGAGGACCTCGTGTACAACGAAACTGGCCTAGAAGCCCTTAACACCACAGGACGCGACCGTCGCACGAGTATTAAAAATACACTATCGGATCATTGCACGACGAACATTTCCATGTTTTTATTTAGACAGAATACATATTAAACAAATTTGTGTTATTTAATTATGTTTGTTTTTGTAAATATATATGTAAACATATAAATTACGTTTACTATGACTAAACATATTTCGACTTTTATCTTGTTACCACACAAGTGCACTATGAGATAGCGACAAATTATATATACAACAACGGTCTATTTAAACTTAATCTACATCTACACTAATATTACAAAGAGGAAAGATTTGTATTTTTGTGTGTATGTTTGTAATGAATAAACTCAAAAACTACTTTGTCGATTTCAAAAATTCTTTCACCATTAGAAAGCTACATTTATCCTGAGTAACATATTTATTGTTAGAAAAGATTAGGGATCCTTACTAAAACTTTAGTAACGTAACTCAAGGTGTAAAAAAATGCTGTAAAATATCTTCGCGTCGCGTGCGCTGCGGAAACTATTGGTGATGGAACAAAAGTATGTTCTACAATATTGAAGAAAATATCAATAACTACAAAAAACTGGGGGGAAGGGATTATTAGTAATGGGCTTTGACAGTACTATTGCTAGCAATATACCATATATACTAATGGCCTACTTATTGGATTATTAACTATTGCGTTCTATGATTTATGGTATTTTTTTTTAATGGATGATAATGGAATGGTAATCCCGCCCGCGCTATCGGTATACACCGGCGGGGCACCAGTGAAGGATATAGGGTGAGAATGAAGCAGGTCAATTAGCACATCGTGACGAATTCACTTGGAATTCAGCACGATGGGGGGCGGGGTTACCATTCCATTATCATCCATTAAAATGACACTGCAATAGCTAAAAATAGATTTATGGGAGGTTTGAAGTTTTTTTTTTTTTATAAATAGGAGGAAATAGGTATTATTTAATATAAGAAATAAATAAATAAATAAAACGTTCAAGTACTTCAAGTAAGTCATATTATTACGCAAGTGTTAAAAAACCTAGCAGTTAACATAACACTTGTTGGTGACTGGTGATTCCTTATCACAATTTCTCGTGAAGTACTTCAAGTTATCTAATTTATGACGTTTCATATTTTTTGTTTCTACATTGGATTTTTTTTTATGTGTGAAAATGGTATGGTAACCCCGCCTGCGCTAACGGGATACGCTGGCGAAGCACCAGTGAAGGGTGATAGATGAGAATGAAAACAGGCCAGTTAGCCCATCATGATGAATTCATCAGAAATTAACCATGATAGTTTCCAGGGAGAACCGCGAGGAGGTCGACCTGGTTGGGTATATTGCTAGCAATAGGATTCTTAGTCTCCATTACTAACAATCCCTTTCCCCCCTCTACATTGCAATTGAAATGTTAACTTGAGATTACATTTTATGCCCACATCACAATTTCTGGAACAGCAGTTACGTAAAACAGATGTGAATGGTAAAGTAGAATGAGGAGCTTGACAGTTTCCCAATTCGCTCCTCACCTTAACCTCATCGCCGTCCCTCCTGGAAACTATCATGTTGAATTCCAGGTGCATTCATCACGATGGAGACTTTGTACAAAAGTCGATTGCTTGGGTACCTCTGTCCCATTCGTGTTTCAACCGTAAAGCAGCTGTGTTTGCATGGCTGGTTTTGCATTGCATGTTGGTATATCTTTCTTTAGTCAAAATATAGAAGTATTATTATTAAAACGATCATGTACTGTTATTCGGCTTTGCCTAACTTATAAGCGTGTAGGATGGGTGTATAATTATAAAAAAAAAATCGCATAAAATCAATAGGTAACTATAAATATCGGCGAGACAAAGGTGAACCTGTTAATGAACTCGTCGAGTTATGGCGTCAAATTCTTCGAAGTTTATGCCAAATTTTATTGCTTATGCCATATTGTTGGGAGTCGATTAGTGATGTGCCGAGTCCACCTTTTTTGGTATATACAATCGAGTATTTTGATATTTGTTAAAACATAATCGAATCCTAAATCGAGTACATGTTTCGGTATTCGAGTATATCATTACACTCAAGTAATTTTCCTATTTTTTTTGAGGGATGATAATGAAATGGTAACCCCGCCTGCGCTAACGGTATACACTGGCAGGGCATCAGTGAGATGACAGGTTTTTTTTTTATACAACTTAGAATGGCAAACAAGCTGACGGCCCACCTGATGGAAAGTGGTAACCGTCGCCTATAGACATGATCAGTACCATGGACATAACAGAGTATACTGTTTCGCCCATGATACCCCCAATGCGTTGCCATTCCTGAGGACTCAGGTGTTATTCCTCCGTACCCAGTAAATTCACGCCATATCCCACCCTTCAAACCGAAACACAGCCATGCAAACACAACTGCTTCATGGTAGAAACACGAATGGGACAGAGGTACCCAAGCAATCGACTTTTGTACAAAGTCTCCATCGTGATGAATGCACCTGGAATTCAACATGATAGTTTCCAGGAGGGACGGCGTTGAGGTTAAGGTGAGGACCGAATTGGGAAACTGTCAAGCTCCTTAAGTTGGTAAACATAAATAAAATGGTGCAATTAATATATAAGAAGCTACAATAAATACACGACTTGTATCACATCATCGAAGTACTCGTAATTTGCGCCTGTTGACAAATGGCAAACGAATTTATCGATAGACACGTTATCGCTAGCGAGTCCGCGAGGTAGAATAAAATGACAATGTGCGCTGACTTCTTTTTTCACACGTTCAACAAGGCACAATCGTTTGTTTATTTACTAGGCTGTATCGAGTCAGCTAAATTCGATACATCACTACAGTCAATACAGGTTACGTTGGCTAAACAAAGATCACGTGTCGGC